TATTATTATATATATATATATATATATATATATATATATATATATATATATATATATTATTTATATATACCGTTTATAATTTTATCTTCAATAACAAACTACAATTTTTTTACATTTGTTTAATATTATTAAAAAGCTATGATAATTCCTTAAATTTTTAATTCATGATTTTTAATAAAATCTAAATATTCTTAAACAAAATTACCACTTATAATATATTAAAAATTATTTATATTATTTAATTCCTTAAAATTTTAAAAAAAGTTTGGAATTAAATCATTTTACGAATAATAAAAATTAACATACAATTAAAGATTTATTCTATTAATATTCTCAATTTTAATAAAATATTCATTATTTATTTAGTTTAATTTTAAAAAATACACATTCCATTAAAAAGCATCTAAATTTATTTCTGTTTTTGTAGATATATTAATATTTTATATTTAAAATTAGCATTTTTCTCCTTAATAATTTCCACTACATTTACATTCTTTTTATATGCAAATTCCTTTATTTTTTAAAAATTTAAATCATTTCCACAATCATTTAAGCATATATTATCTTTAGAAGATATATGTATTTTGATTTCAGCCTATATTAAAGTATCTTATTACATTAAATCATACATTCCTATATATAGCATTTAATCTTATTTTTATGGATATTCTATGATAATAGAATGCTATAATTCTCCTGATATACATGCTTACTTATCAAAGAATATAAAATCATTTATTTTTTTATTTGTTTTTAGATATTTATTAAATTCTTCTGGTGAAGGAATTTGTTTGTTTGAAATAATAAAAACTGGTAGGAGCTTTTTACCTATTAAATTAGTTAAAGCATTCGTTATTTTCATTTAAAAAATTATTTTTGAGTATTATATGTTAGAAGGTATTTTCAAACTAAATTTTAATTCATTTTTGAATTCTTTTTATATTATTTAAGGTATATAAATTTGCTATGCTATTAAAGGAATATTTAGTATTTGTAATATTATAAATAAAAAATATAATAAATTCATTTTCGTGTTTTTATATTTAAATAGATTTTTTAATTAAATTGTTTATAATTATATTATATTAATTTTTTGCGATTTTAAAATGTTATGTATTAATATAAAAATTAAAGTGCTTTTTTATAAAAAATATAATTTTTTTGATTTGTTTTAATTTAATAGTTAAAAATTAATTTTTTACTCTTTTTCCTAAAAAATATTAATTATAAATATCATATATAATTATTTTTATATAAAGAAAATTATCTGTTATAAAAATATTAAACTAAAAAAAAAAAAAAGAATAAAATTCTTTATATATTTTTCTAAAAAGAGTTAATATTTTTATATTTTAATTACTAAATATATATAAATTAAATAGTTTAAAAATATAAACTTAATATTTATTATTTGTACTATATCATAATAATTGATAATTATTGATATTATGTTATAAAAATTTTTCTATTTTTTAATTCTATAACTTATTTTTATCAAAACTTAATTACTTATTTTAATTATATTTAAATTACTTAAAAATTTAAATAATTTGCTATTTATTTTATTTTATTTGTTTTTTAATCAAAATATTAATAATCTTATAATAAATATAATGAAATTTTTATTTATAATATATATTATTTTATATAATCAACTTTTTATATCTTTTTTGATTTTATTAAATTAATTAATATGCATTTTTAATAAATAATTAATATATTGATATTTCTTTCTTATTTTATTAAAAATATTATTAATATATTAATTTATATTATGATTATATATATATTGATAAATACTACGACTTTTTAACTTCAAAAAAAATATATATATATTAAATAATATTAAATAATATTAATTTATATTTATATATTATCCAAAATATGATATATTATTTATAATACTTTATATATTTTTTTATATATTTTATGTTTATAAAAATTTATTATATATTTTTATTAATTTATTTATTATTATATTATTATTAATATAAAAAAGAAAACCCAATTATATATATGTTTTTTAATAGTATTAAAAAAAAAAAAAAATCATAAAATAAATTAAAATATTTATAAAAAAAATTATTTTTATTATTTCATAAAAATAAAAAAGTAAAAACGTAAATAAAAATCGAAAACAAAATAAATATGTTAAATAGTTTTTTAACTCTCTATAATGGTTTTTAATTACTTATGTATATAACAATAACCTTAACTATAATTTATTTCTTAAAATAATTCTTTAATGGAGGAACATGCAATATAAAGAAAAATCTACAAGGATAAATAATCATAATAACAGGATCAAATATTGGTATAGGTTTTGAAACAGCTAAAGAATTAGCCATATAAGGGGCTAAAATAATACTAGCCTGTCGTGATGAAAAGAAAGGGAAAGCAGCAGAATAAAAATTAAATGAAATAAAATAATAATCATCTGAATTTATCAAACTTGATGTTTCTGATTTATCTTCAGTTCGTTTGTTTGTAAATGAATTTAAATCAAAGTATAAAAAATTAGATATTTTAGTAAATAATGCGGGTATAACTGGAGAAATATAAAGAAAATAAATTAAGGACGGATTCGAATTAGTATTTGTAACAAATCATTTAGGTCATTTTTTATTAACAAATCTACTTTTAGATTTATTAAAAAAAACTCAAAATTCTCGAATTGTTAATGTCTCTTCAAGTGCCCATTATATTTCTAATATAGATTTCGATGATCTTTTTTTCGAAAAAAAGGCCTATAATACCATAAAGGCTTATGCTTAAACTAAACTAGCTAATATTCTTTTTACTAAATAACTTTAAAGGACTTTTGATAAAGAAAACTTAAAAATTAAAGCTGTTTCTTTACACCCTGGAGCTGTAAGAACTGATGCTATAAATAAAGTCGGTGCAAAAATATTAGTTAATTTAATCCTTATTTTAATTTATCCTATTTTCGTGTTAGTTTTTAAGTCTACTTATTAAGGAGCTTAAACTTCTATTTATTGTTGTGTGGAAGATTTCGAGAAGTTAAAAGGAGGTGAATACTATTCGGATTGTAAAGTTAAAAAATCATCTAAAAATAGCTATGATGAGGAAACTGCTAAAAAATTATGGGAGATTTCTACTAAATTAGTTAAATTGTGATTTTTATTTGTTTATTTAGGAATTAAATGCGAATTTTTTATATAGTTATTTATTTGTTTAAAGAAAAACAAAAAAACAAAAAAACAAAAAAACAAAAAAAGAGATTTTAATAATAAAATAAAAAGAAAATATGTTTTCTTTTTTTTTTTAAAAAAAAAAAATATATAAAAAAAATATTAAATATTTATTATTATATTACACTAAAAATCATTAATATTATCTTTATTCAGTTATTAATTATGTTAACATTTTTTTTTATAAATATATATATTTCATTTTATATTTAAATTTTTTTATTTTATTTTTTTTAAAAAAAAAACATTAGCATAGTTTAATTTATATTAGAAATATATTTGTTTTTTAAGTTTGATAATTTTATAAAGCTATATAAAAAAAATTAAATAAAATAATTACTAAGACAATGTATTTATAATTTGCCTTTTAAATTCATAAAAATTCCATATTTTTATTGCAGATATATTGATCTTTGTAGATATTTAATTATAATAATTTAATTATTAAAATATTTTTATAAAAAATAATATATATATATATATATATATATATATTTGTATATACACATATATATATATATTATTTTTATTTAATTTTTACATATTATTTATATTTTAATTATCTATTGTTTCAATAATACAAAAATTTAATTATAAAAAAATGTTAAAAAATAATTTAATTAATTTATAATAATACTTTAATTAAATCTATTTTTTAATATCTTTGACAATAGTAGTTTTATTTGTTTTAAAGCAGTGTTTTAGAAGAGGAAAAGCTCCTATAAAATGCAATTTACAAGGTAAAATAATAATAATAACTGGATCAAATACAGGAATAGGTTTCGAATCCGCGAAATAATTAGCTGAATAAGGAGCATAAATAATACTAGCATGCCGAGATGAAAAGAAAGGAAAAAACACAGAAATATAAATAAACCAGATATATAAAAACTAAAGCGAATTTATAAAATTAGACCTTTCTGATTTATCTCAAATTCGTTTATTTGTAAACGAATTTAAATAAAAATATAATCGATTAGATGTTTTATTAAACAATGCAGGAATAGAGGCCGGGAAATATAAAAAATTAACAAAAGATGGATTCGAAATGGCTTTTGGGACAAATCATTTAGGTCATTTTTTATTAGCTAATTTACTTTTAGATATATTAAAAAAAACTGAAAATTCTCGAATTGTTAATGTTTCTTCTGGAATACATAAAAATGGATTTCCATTTTATACCAAAATAGATTTCGAAGATTTAAATTACGAACAAAAGCCATATGTAGGTATAAAGGCTTTTTCTTAAAGTAAACTAGCTAATGTTATTTTTACTAAATAATTATAGAGAATTTTCGATTAGGAAAATTTAAAAATAAAAGCCGTTTGTTTAAATCCAGGGGCTGTAAGAACCGGAAGTTTAACTAAAGGAGAAAATAAATTATTAATAAAGATTATTATTTGTTTATATTATCCGTTTTATTTTTTGGGATTTAAGTCACCATAGAAAGGGGCTTGGACTTCAGTTTACTGTTGTGTTGAAAATTTCGATAAATTAAAGGGGGGAGGATATTATGAAAATTGTTAAATCTCTAAAGCTTCGGAAGATAGTTGCAATGAAGAAGCAGGTTCGAAATTATGGGATTTGTCGGCTAAAATGGTTAATTTATGATTTTTAGTTTAAATTATTTATATTTATTTTATTTTTTTTATTATTTATTATACTAAATACAAAAAAAAGTTTGATAATTAATTATTTTAAGCATTTTTTTTTTTTAAAAAAAAAATTTTTTATAAATTTTTATAGAAATATACCTAATTAAAAATAACAAATATAAATTATAATTAATAAATACAAAATTATTATTTATAATATATAATATTTATTATTCATTTTTTTTATATTATTTTTAGGGTTAAATATTTTTTAGTATAAAATAATTTTTATTTTATGAAAAATTTTAGGAATGTTTATAATAATTTTTTATTTTTTATTTAAATAAAATAAATGTAATATTATTTTTAATTTTCTTATTTATTTAAATTTCCTCATTTGTTAAAATATTCTAATAATATTTTAAGGCATCGAAATTTTCTATAAAGTATATTTATTATTCTTTTTCTTTTTTCAAATTTATTAAAAATAATTTTTTCTTCATATTAATTACAAAAATTAATATAATTTCTAGTTTTATTGTAATATATATTTTTAAGCACTATATATAAAATAAAATTTACATTGAATTAAGTTTTTATGATTTTATTTATTCCTATTTTTTTAAATATCTTTATATGAAAATTATCTTTTAATTCTATTTTTTTATAAACCTTAAGCTTTTTGTAATATTCTTTCTTTCTTAATCTTTATTATCGAATAAATTTTCAAAAATAATAAAGACATCAAATAGTTATTTTATATAAAATAAAATTTAATAATTTTTATTTTTTTAAAAATTACAAATGTATTTTCTCCCATTTAAAGAATTAAATTATCTTTTATTTATTTTTATATTATTATATTCATTTATATAAAAAAAAACTTTTTTCAATATTTTAGTTATTTTAAATATAAAAAAAATCTTAAAAAAGTATGTGTAAACTTACAAAAAATATCTTAATTATAAGGTTATAAGTTTAAAATTAAAGAGATTAGAAACCCATTAAAACACATTTATTATTCTAAAGATAATTTTAAATTTATATTGAAATATAGTTTAAATTATAAAGTAAATATTTTCTTATATAAAGCATTATTAATAATCATAAATAATTTAAAATAAAATTATATATTTTTAAATAAAAATATTGGTTAAGAGTTTATTTAATGGAAACATATCTTATATAAATATTATTCCCTTTTTATTTTTTTTTAAATATTACCTTATAAATATTCATTTTTTTAAAATTCTCATATAAAAATATTAATTAGTTAATTTATCCACAAGATTTTGTCTATTTTTAATTATATTTTACTATATCTTTTACATCATAAAATATTTCTATATAATAAGTATATTAATAAATGTATTTATAAATAAAAATAAAACAAAATATATAATAATCGTAAAATAATTTAAATATATATATATACTTATAACTTAATTGTATTAATAAGACTTTAAAAATATCATCATTGTAGAATATTAATAAAAAAAATAATAAAAAAATTATATAATAAATAATAATATATATAATATATATATATATATATATCATATATATATATATATATATTTATTTTTATTTATTATAATATCCTATATTAATATAATTAAATACTATTTTAATTTATATATTAAATACAATATTGTTTTATTTTTCTCTCTTTTTATATAATTATTTCTTTTATTTAAATTTTTTTATTTCATTTTAAGTGTTAATTATTTTAATAATTTTAGAATGTTTTAATTTTATTTAAGCTTTTTTAGATATTAAGATAAAATTTATCATTTTAATTTAAAAATATTCTATTGTTTTTATCTTTTTAATTATTTATATATTATATATATTATCTTGATTTATTTCGCTTTTAAGGTTAATAATAAAGCACTATATTATCTTTCATGTTAAAATCTTTATCTATTTTATATCTTTTATATAATTTATAAATAATTATTTTTCTATAAATTTTATTGTATCAGCCTAGACTTGATATATTAAAGTAAAAATTATTATATTTAAAATTTATATAGAAGTTTATTATTTAATAATATCGGTTTAACCTATGTTCATAATTTATATTACCGAAAAATAAATACATTTTAAATACGAATTAAGTTTTTATTTATTTTATAAAGTATAAAACATTATCCAACATTTATTATATTAGATATAATAAAGTCCTATAATATAAAATATAAAATTAAAAAAAATATGAAAATATGAACATTAAAATAAAATTAATATTAATAATATTATAATTTTCATTGCTTTTTTATTTTATTTAAACAAAAAACAAAAAAATATTTATGAATTTAATAATACCTGAAATCAAATTCTTAATATAAAATATTTAAATGTGTTATAACTTCTTAAAAAATATAAGAGATACACTATTAAATGTTAAAAAAATATAATTCAGTGTTATTATACTTTTAATATCTCATATATAAATTTTTCTATTATATATTTTTCTTTAAATCTAAAAATGATTACTTATACATAATATTAATTATTTCACTTTATAAATATATCAATGCAAAAACAAAAAAATTATATTAGTGTTTAAAAATATTATAAATAAACAAAAAATATAAAAAGATAATATTTAAATATATAAATGTAAATAAATAATAAATCTTTATAATTTTAATAAAATAAATATTATAATAATATATTAAATTATGAATAATAAATAAAATATTTATTATTTGTATGAAAAAAATATATATATAATTGAGTTTTTAAATTTTACATATTGCATTAATAATGATACTTTTGAAAATACATATTAAAAATTTATAATTTTTAGATATATTTAAAACTTAATAAAAAAATTATAAATATACATCATAAACCAAAATCATATTATTTATAAAAAATATTATTATAATTATAAGTAAAATGAATAATGAAATTATATTTATTATTAATTAATTTTGAAATAATTTTATGATTTTCTATAGTTTTTCAAAATAAATAATGTTTAATTAAAAAAATTGAAGATTAAAATATTTATAAAATTAATAAAATTAATAAAAACAACTTTATTAAAAATAAATAATATTAAATATTATCAATTATAATATTTAATTTTATATTAGTTTTAAAGTCAAAAATAAAAAAAGTTAAATAATATTAATATTATCTTTTAAAAGGAAATTTATTAAAAAAAAATTATTATAAGATTAGAAAAAAAAAAAATTATATATATAAAATAAAAAAAATAAAAAATAAATAAAAATATAAATATAAATATAAAAAATTTGAACATATATATATATATATATATATTATTTTAATTTTATTTATATTTTAGTATATATAATTATTATTTTTTTATAATAATTTTATATGTTATATTTTTATTTTTTTAATATAATATATTTATTGTATAGAATTATTCATTTTTTTATATCCCTTATTAATAAATTTTATTTTTTATAGTTTATAATTTAACATTTATATTCTTTATTCTATTATATTTTTTTTTAAGATTATTTATAAATATAAAATTTTTAAATTTGTCTATTTGATTTACATTTTTTATTTTGAAATTTTATTTTATTATTAGAAAAAGATATTTTTAATTTAATTAAAATCTGAAAATAATTAATTTTGTTACGTATATTTTTAATCAAGCTATAATAAATAAAAAATATTTATTTAATTTTTCAATTTCATAATTATATTTATATAATAAATATTAATTTTTTTTTTTTTTTTTATTTAATTTATTTTTAAAAATATATATTTATTAATTTATTTCGAGTTAAATATAATTTTTTATTATTATGTGGTAATTTTAAATTTATAAAAGATTTCATAATTATATAAAAAAATAATAAAAATAATTAAAATAATTACAATATAATTATTTTTTAATAAAATTTAATTAAAATATAAAAATTTTTAATTGTTATTATAATAAATTAGATAAAATGGGATTTAAATAATCATAATAAATATTATGGATATTAATTACAATAAATTATTTAATAAAATCAGAAAATTTAAATTAATAAATACGAAAAAAATTTTCAATTTAGACTACATTTGATTTAGAAATTTAACCTTCATAAGTATTTAAATACATAAAATTTGAAATGAATATAAGTAATTCAATTAAATAGATTTAAGGCCATTAAATTTTAACAGCATTTTTTATATCACCATAAATACTTCCATAAATAAATGAAATAAATAATATAATCAATTCAAATAAAAGATTAATATAAAATTTATATTATGATAGACAAGCATGTATTTCAGGAGAAAATAAGCATTCAATAATAATTAAATATCCTGAAAATGGGATAAATCTTAAATTTGGTATATTTGAATTATCCTAAACAAATATATAAATAAATTCTCTAATAAATATTTCGTTTGAAACAGATTACATTTGTAAAAATGATTGCGGAAATTCTAGTTATATAAAAAAAGGAGAATGTATATAAGGAGTTTGTTAGTGTTATTAAGAATATTTTGGAGAAAAATGCTAGTTTTAATATAATATTATTAATTTTAATGAAGAAATAAATATAAATATAAAACCTTTTAAATGGAAAATTCTATTTATAAAATTAAATAATATTTAAGAGAAATATTTTTTTAAAATATAAAATGCTTAAAATCCAATATATTTATCTGTAATTTTAAGCTAATTTTCTGATGAATAAATACCAAATTTTTAGCATGATATATATGAAATAAAAAATAATAATTTATAATATAGTTTTGGAGGGTAAATATTGGAATAATATAAAAAATTTTCATTATAAAATAAATAAATAAACAAAGGTATAATTTTAGGATTTTATTCAATATAAGAAAAAGATTAAAATTTAAAAATAAAAATTATTTAAGGAATTGAATAAGAAAAAAGTAGACTTATTATTTTAAATATGATATAATATTTATTTTATTTTATTTTATTTTAAGAAATAAATATTAAAAATTATTAAAACATTCTCATTATTATAATTTCAGTAATTGGATTAATAACTATAGGCATTATAATATATATAAACAAATATGAAAAAAAGTAAATAAATGTCTAACCTTAAAATATTATGTAAAAATAAATAAAAAAATTAATATATATATAAATAAAATAATTATATATTATAAAAATAATAAATATATATATATATATTTATATATATATATATTTATAAATTAGATAATCAAATTTAAATTCTCCTTTAAATATTAAATTAATTGATAAATATATGAAAATATAATAATATTAATAAATTATTGATACTTATCCTTAATTATTTGATATCAAAGAATGTGTATTTATATTATTTTAACAAAACAAAAATTTAAACTTCTTTTTTTAATAAAGGTTGTTTGTTTATGTGATTTTACAAATTAAAATTAATGCAGATTAACTATTTGCTTTCATTTATTTCATTCTTAGTGTTTAGAAAATTGGCTTTAATAACATACTAATTGTCCTTTTTGTAGATAATGCTTAGATTAATAATAATTGGAAAAAGCTATAGATTAAAATTGGAATTTAAATTCTTATAAAAATAGAATTAAATATAATTCAAAAAGAAATATTGTTTAAGACATATAAATTTTAAACAGTTAAATAATTTATATATATATATATATATATATATATAATTTAAAATAAAAAAATTTAGATAATTAATTAATAAATAATTAGAAAAAATAAGATTTTAAGAATACTATAAATAGTTATAAAAGAAGCAGTTTAGCTTAGATTAATTAATAAATGGAAATATTTAATAACAATTAATAAATAAATTCCTAAAATTTAATTAAATAATAGCATAATGATAATTTTAATTTACATTAAAATACCGATTAATAAAGAAATATTTATACTAAGAGAAGAATAAATTCTATATATTAAAAGTAATATATAAAATTTTAAAATACGAGAACTGGAAATGGTGCTCATTAAACAATATAAATTATTAACACTGAATTTAATAATAATGTAAATAAATAAGTGAAAGAAAAATTAGAAGATAAATAATTAGGATAATGATATTTAAAAATGAATTTATTTAAATTATTAATTAAATTATATAATAAAAACTTAGAAATTTAATGTTTAAAAAAAAATGACTAAGGCTATAAAAATGAAATAAAAACTAAATATATTATTTAAAAAAAAATAAAAAAAATTCTTTTTAAATAATTAGCTTTAATTGAAAGGATTTGTTTATATTTTTATATTAAATATAATTTTATAATTATTTATCACATAATAATAAAATAAAAATTATATATAATTATAATAAATTTATATTTTTAAAAATTATTATAAGGAATGTTTAAATTATACTTTATTAAATGTAAATAAGATTGTAAATAAAATAATATATAATAAACTAAATTAAATAATAAAAAAATATAATAAAAAATAAATTTTAAAATAATATATAAAATTATAAGTAATTAAAAAAAAATGTATTAAAAAATTATTTTATTAATTATTTTGTTTATACTATCATTCTTGTCTATAATAATTTATACATCAATACCAAACTACTAAAGTAAATTAAAAAAAAAAATATATATATATATATATATATATATATATATATATATATATATATATATATATATTTAATTACATATTTATATATTTATATTTTATAATTTATATTTTTTTTAATAGGAATAATACAAATTAATCGATAAAACTAAAATAATATAACAATAATTAGAGATTAAAATGGTATACCTACTATTTAATCTGAAAACTTTAATGACGTTGTTTATGGAATGGGATACTTACATGCATAAGATAGACTATGGTCAATGCATTTTAAAAGAAAGGTATTTGAAGGTAAACTATCAGAATTAGCAGGCAGTAAAACATTAGATATGGATATACTTTTGAGAAGTTTGAAACTAGAAAAAAATGCTTAAAAGAAATTTGAAAACAGTTCTTAGAAAATAAAAGATATTCTTTAATGTTATTCTAATGGAATTAATGATTATGTAGATAGTTTAAGTATTTTACCTATAGAATTTTTACTTACAGATGAAAAATTCCATAAATGGGAACCTCATCATTCTTATGCTTTAGTTAATTTAATGGCCTTTTTTATGAGTTTAGATATTGTTTATGAACCATTTAGGCATATATTTAAATATATATATATATATATATATATATATAAATATATATATATATATATATATATAAATTTTATTTTATTTAAAGGCATTTATTATATGAAAAATATGGAGAAGAACTTAGTTTATATATGATTGCTGGGAGAACTAAATATAATTTAGAAATGACAACAATTTTAGATGATATTGATTTAAAGAAAATGGGTTTATTTAAATAGTTTAATGATACTAAAATCATGGATGTAATTTTTAGATTATATTTTTTTTTTTTTAAATAAAATATTAGGAATAGTATATTCATTTAAAAGAAGATTATTTACAAAAATTTATTCAATTTGATATGGTAAATATGTTAGATAATGTAATAAAAGGTATAAGAGGTAGTAATTCATGGGTAGTACATGGAAATCATACAGAATCAGGTAAACCATTGTTAGCAAATGATCCACATTTAGAAACTACTATACCGTCAACATGGTATTAAGCAGAATTTGTTTGGAAAAAAGCTAATAACAAAAAAATTAAGTATAAGGGGTAAATATACCAGGAATACCATTTATAATGATTGGACGAAATTAATATACAGGATGGGGATTGACTAATAATATTTGTGATAATTCAGATTTTTATTAAGAAACAATAAGAAATAATAGCGAATATTTATTTGATGGAAAATGGATAAAATTAAAAAGTAGAATCGAAAAAATTAAAGTAATATATATATATTAATATATATATATATATAAATTATTTTTTATAAATATTTTTTTATATTTATATTTATATTTTTATATATTTTTATAATATATATATATTTATTTTTATGTCTATTTTATTAAATATATATAATTTTATATATATATTTTATCTAGATTAAAGGAGAAAAAAATCTCTTAAATTTTACTATACATGAAACTCATCATGGACCAATACTTAAAGGACTTTTTCATTTATTGGATACTAAAAATTGGTAAAATTTTTAAAATTAAGTTAGTTTATCTTGGATAGGATTTTTAGAATAAGATTATATTTTTGAAGGACTTTTAGGATTATAAGATGCTTAAAATATCGATAATATATAAAATTCAATTTTTCTAATGAAAAGTCCTGCTTTGAATATAGTTTGGGCAACTATAGATAACCATATAGGTTATTAAGCATAAGGACTATTACCGAAAAGAAACTTTTAAGGAAATGTTTTTATTAAAAATGGAAGTAATCCGTATAATGATTGGATTGGGTAAATTTATAAAAAATATTAAATATATAAAACTTATATACAATATAGATACTATAATAATAACGAATAACCTAGAGTAATTGATCCTTAAAAAGGTTTTATTGTAACTGCTAATAATAAAGTTGCCAGTAATAATTTAATTCATAATTTTAATAAAGCTTAATTTTCCGTATCAAGAGCGAAAAGAATTACTGATTTAATCGAAGAGAAAATAAAAAAAGGTTAAAAAATAAATTCTTAAGATTTCAAAAATTTCCAATAAGATGTTTATGATATATATGCTTGTAAAATAGTAAAACCATTAACCGAAATATTTAAAATAAAAGGCCTTACTTACCTAAACTAAGAAAAATATGAAGAGTATTTAAAATATATTACAGAAATAGAAAATTGGGACTGTTTTGTTACAAAAGAAAGTATAGCGGCTGGTATATTTTAAACTTGGGAGCATTTTTCTTTAAGGACATTTATAAATGAATTAACAGAAAAAGAGGAAACACGAATAATTATTAATATGAGTTTAATGTTTGACCATTTTTATATCTAAGAAATTCTTAAAATGCATTAAAATCTATAAGAAGGAAAATATTTAAAATCCTACTGTATAGTAAAAGAATTTAATTTAGAGGGAGATTGTATAAAAAACTTTATTTTTTCATTTGATAAGGCAATTGGTTATTTAAAGCAAAAATAAGGAAATGATTTTAAAAAATGGAATTGGGGAAATGTACATAATCATAGATTTGATCATAAACCGTTTTCTTAAAGTTTATTGTGGTTTATTTTTGAAAGAAGTTATATTGGCTAAGGGAATAAGAGAACTATTAATGTTGGAGGAGTTAATCATATTCCAGATAAATGGGATAGCTGGTATACTGCTAATTTTAGAATGATTTTGGATTTTTAGGGTATAGATAATAGTTGGTGGGTTATTGATACGGGGGTTAGTGAAAACCCTTTCAGTAATTTTTATGATGATTAGATGAAATTACATGAAGTTGGAGAGTATTTGAAAATGAAATTTAGAAATGGATATAATAATGATAATGAGTATTAATAAGAAATTGTTTTTGGAGAATTTTGATAAGAATCTTTTTTTTATATTTATATTTTAAGTATTTTAGTAATAAAATAATAATAGTTTTAAAGAAAAAAATAAAATAAAAGTATTATATATAAAGTAAAATATTAGATTTTTATATTTTTAGTATATAATTTAAATTATTAAAAAAAAAAAATGTATATTTATATATATATATATATATATATATATATAAATAATATTTTTATAATATTGATTTTATTGTATATATTCGTTTATATGATTTTTTAATAATTATTTTTTTTTAAAAAAAATGTAAAATTTGAAATGTTTTTTTTTTTTTTATATATATATAAAATATTTTTAGTTAGTAATTAAAATATATTTTATTATTTTATTTAATACAAAAAAATAAAATTGATATAAATATTTTATTTTTTTTTTTTTTTTTTAGTAATTAAAAAAAATATTTGTTAAAAAATTTACATAAAAAAAAAAATATATATATTTATAAACCAATTAATATAAAAATAAAATGAGCGACATTTAAAACAAAAATTTTTATTAAAATTAGCGTAAAAGCAATATTCCAATTTTAAATAAAAAACTATAAAATAATAAATTCTTTATAGATGTTTAAGAGTAAAATAAAAAATAATAAAATTTCGATAATTAATTTTATTCTTATAAAATAAATTCTTATAAAAATTAATAATTTAGAGATAATAATAAATAAAAATAATAAGATATCAATAAAAAAATAGGTAATTTAAATTAAAAAAAAATATTATAAAAATGAAAGCATAAATAATAATATTTTTTTTTTAAAGATTCATAAATTAATAAATCAATATAGTTATGTAAAAATAATAATAATAAAAATTACAATAATAAAATATAAACTGAAGAAGAACCATAAAATCATTTTTAATATTTATAATAATATTTTAAAGAAAAGCAGAGAGTTTTTAACGATTGTAATAAATATAACAAAAATTATATTTATAAATATATTAAAATATATTTATAAAAAATATATATAAAAATATTAAATAAATTTATATATTTTTAATATTTATATATTTTTTACTATTAATTTATTTTATTTTATTTATAATAGGTTTCTCTAATTAATAATCATATTTTGATTATTAAATAAATAAAAAAATTTAAAATATAAAACTATTATTATACAAAGATAAAGACTAAGAACATGAATCTACATTTAATCATGAATCTTCTATTTAAAAATAATTGAAAGATTAAATATAATAATAAATTATTGATGAAAATACCCAAAAAATACAATTATGCATATAACCTAAGTAAATACTAAAAAATCCCTAAAACTTTGATATTTTATAATTATTTTAGCTTCAACAAAAATAAAATAAATAAAAAATGTAATATGAAATTAATGAAAAATCCAAAACTTATAAAAATAATACTATCGAAACATTAACAAATATAAAATAATAATAATAAGATAATAAATAATTAAAGAAACACCCTTAACCTGCCCGTTTATAATTTTAAATAAAACGTTCTAAATTATTTAATAATCCTTTAGAAAATTTAGGCATTAGCTATCCTATTTATTATGATACTTCTTCTTTAAGTAAACTTGATAAACAAATTTAATTTGCTATAAAAATAAGTGCTTACAAAGATTTTATTTCATCAATTGCATTTTAGAATAGTATTTTTGTAGAAGCCCCTAGTGATAAAAACTATCCTTTATATAAGGCTTATGTTGGAAAAGGAAATAATTCACAATTAATTAGAATGATTTTTAAAAAAAGAACTTGGTGGACTTTAACTGATTAAAAGGAGGATTCTATAATTAATATTCTATGGACTTAATTAAGAAGTTAGAAATTTCTCGATTAATTAAATAATGGAGAAACAATAAAAAATAGTAAAAATTCAATAAAATATAATGAAAATGAAATAAATTATAAAGAAAATTTAATAGAAAATAATAAAGATTAAGTATAATGTAATGATAATTCAATAAAAAATAATGAAAATATAATAAAAAATAACGAGAATTTAATATAATATAATGAAAAATAACATAATTTAAGTAAACTTTTAAATCAGAATATTTTTTAGAAAATAAATAATATTTTTTCGAATAGAAAAAAAACAAATTCGATTCTCAAGCTTTAACTATGAATACAATTTAATCTTTTGAAAAAAATATAAAAATAAATAATTTCCCTCATTTACTAAAAATGCATAATCATTTAGAGGATAATTTTCATTTAACAAATAAAAAAGCACTTTTTTATAATATGAGATCTTATTACTAATCTATAGGAAAAAATGTCTTTTAGTATTTACCTTTAACTTTTCATATTTAAGAAGGTAAAGAAGATAGCGAATATATTAAATTTAAAGAATACTTCTAAGAATAATAAAAAAAAAATTAACCAAATATTTGGATTATTAAACCTGGAGAAATTACGAATAGAGGTTGTGGTATCAAAGTACTAAATGATATTTATTCAATTCAATTAATTATAGATTCTAAGGAAACACATGCAATTAGTGGGATAAGGAAAACATATATTATATAAAAATATATAGAAAATCCATTACTTTATTAAAAAAGAAAATTCGATATAAGATGTTATTATTTATTAACTACTTTTAATGGAAATCTAAAAGCATATTGGTATCAAGAAGGATATGTAAGAACTTCTTCATAAGAATTTACAGTTAAAAATTTTAGTAAATAAAAAAAATATATATATAAATATTAATATATATATATATAAATATACAATATAATATATATTTATATCTATATATATATAAATATTTTTTTTATTTTTATATTTTTTATATTAATATATTTATTTCATATATATTTTTATTAATATTTATATATATTTTTTATTAGATAAAAATATACATTTAACTAATGATGCTATTTAGAATAAAGATGATACTTATGGAAAATATGAAATCGGGAATAAAGTTAGTTATTGTGATATGAATAAATATATTTAGTAAAATTATCCAAATAAAGATTTTTATTATAACATTTTGCCTTAAATGAAAGTAGTTTTTTTTATTTTTAAATACAAAAATTCTAATATATAAAAAGAATATAGCTAAAGATACTTTAAATGCTGTATATGCAAAGATTGATCCTTTTAGAAAAGAAAATACTTTAGAAATTTATGGATTGGATTTTATGGTTGATTAATAATTTAATGTTTGGCTTATTGAAATTAATACAAATCCTGCTTTGGATATTTGCTCTCCATTGCTTTCTAAAATTATTCCAGAAATGATTGAAAATACTTTCAGAATTGCTATAGATCCTGTTTTTCCTCCTGCTGGATTTACTAATTTTAAGAATAATTTTAATATTGATAATCCTTTAGAAAATAATAAATATGAATTGTTTTTTGATGAATTAACAGATGGAAATAATATGAAAATTATTGAAAATGATTAAAAATTAAATTGTATTATTTTTAAAAAAATAAAAAATTATATGTATATTTTTTTTATTATTTAATTAATTTTAAAAAGGGGATACTATTAATAAAGAAGAAGAAAAATTAGAAGAAAACGAATGAATAAATAAAAAAAAATACCGATTTTTTTTTCATTTTTATATAAAATATAATCTAATTTAGAATATTCTTTTTAAATTTATATTAAATATATTATTTTTTATAAATAAACCATTTTTTTTTTTTTTTTTAATAAAATATTAAATTTTATAGAACCTAAAAATTTTATTATTAAATAATTTAAAATTAAATACATTATAATTATTTTTTTTTATTTAAAAATAAATAAATTATATATATATATATATATATATATATATATATATTTATAAAAGATGAAAATAAACAAATCAAAGCAAAAATATAAAAAAATTATATTTATTAAATATAATAAAATATAAAAATTATAATTATATAATATTTTTATTAAATATAAATATATATTATTTTTTTTTTTATTTTTTTTTAAATTTTTGTATCTTTGTTTTATTTTTGGTTCGCTAGTTTTGCCTTATTTTTTATTCATATTTTTATTTTATTGTGTTGAATATATGTCGCTTTATTTAATTAATATTTTTTATTATTAATGTTTTTACTATAATCCTTTAAAGGTATAAAAAATATCAATTTTCCATCTTATATATATTATTATTATTATTAAAAAAATCTAGAATTTAATGATAATAATACGCATTATATTCTATTTAAAAATCATTATATAGATATTTTCTGTTTTTAATTAATTAAAGAATTTTTATATATACATTATAAATTTATTTTATTAATATTTTATGTTTTATTTTTTCAACTTATTTATTTGTTATTGTTTAAAGATAAAATAAATTTACCTTTATATACTCTTAAATTCTTTTTGTTTATTGTCTAAGGTTTCTTAGAGGTCAAATAACGGTAAAATTTGTTATATTTTACAGTGTTTTTTTTTTTTTTTTGATTTTACTTTAACTAGTTCTTCTATATTGAGAATATGAGGTATAAATGGGAAAGTTTATGATAATTCATTTTTTTTTTGAGAAGTATACTTTATTTATTTTTTGTTATTTTATTATATGAATAGATAAAAATTATTATTATTTATAAAATAAATAAAAATATATTTATCTATATACTGAATTTTCATATGTAAAACTTCTTCTTTATAGTTTCACTTTTTCAAAATTATTTTTTTCTTTAAGGAAAAAACTTTTTTTGTTTTTTGTTTTCTAAACAAAAATACTTTTTTCACATTTTTAATATTAATGAAAAAAAGGGTAAGAAAAAAAAAAAACTTTATGAGAAATATTTAAATAATCATAAAATTAAAAAAAAATATATATATAAGAAACTTAAAATAAATATTGAATGAAATAAATTAATTTTTTTTGATTAAATTTAAAATATATAATAAATTTACTAGGGGAATAAAAACATCTTTGAACAAGTTTTTATTAATAATATGATTTATCTTTTACTTTTTAAAACTATAAAAAGAATAAAGTCATTTTTGTTAAATATATTTTTACTAATTTTTATTTAAAGAGAGGAAAATAATAATATATATCATAAATTTATTTGTATTTAAAAAAAAAAAAAAAATTATACTTTTTTATTTTTTATTTTATTAAAAAAATCTATAATTTTTTTTTTTTAAAAAAAAACAAATCTTTTTAAGTTTTTAGAGATAAATAAAGATAAATAAAAAAAAAATTACTCAATACAGTATATAAATAAAAGTGTAAATTTTATTTTATGAAAATAAATAAAAAATATATATATCATTATAACTTTTATTCTTCCAATTTTGCAAGTTCATTTAAGAATAATTCATTATCATTATTTTTCTAATATTATCCTTTTAAAAAAACTTCTACTAATTATTTAGCAACATCAATTCCTATTACCCTTTCTCCCATAGCAACTACATTGCAATTCAAATTTTCACGAGCATATTTTGCAGAGTAATAATCATGACAGAGTGCACAACGAATTCCTTTTAATTTATTAGCTGACATTGATATTCCGATTCCACTTCCACATACTAATACACCTAAAGTGTCTTTTTGATTTTTTAATACTTCTGAACAAACCTTGAGAGCAAAATCTGGATAATCACATCTATTTTGACTATCAGTGCCACAATCTATAGTTTTGAATTTAAGTTCATTTTATATGTATTTAATTAATTCATTTTTATATTAAAATCCGGCATGATCAGAACCTACATAAACTGTTAAGACTTACATTTAAAAATTATATAGTTTATTTTTTTAGAATAATAATAATAATAAATAAAATTTATAAACAATAAATTTAAAACGAAAAAATTAAAAAACATTTTTAATTTAAATATAAATATATAAATATATATATATATATATATTATATATTTATATATTTATATATTTAAATATCTTATTCATAATAAAGATATAAATAAATATATTTTTTATCATTTTTATTAATAATTTTTTAAAAAAATTAAATAATTTTTTTATTTATTTTTATACATAAATATATAATAAATGGATTTAAAAATTATTAAGCATAAATCATAAATTTATATTTTTATAAATAAATATTTAAATATTTATTTATTTATGCATTTTATATTTATATATTTATAATTGAAATCTAATACTTTATTTCAAATTTCTAATTATTATTATTTTATTTTCATTATAATTTTGTGTTGTTTTTTTTATAAATTCATTTCTTTAAAAATATTTAATTTTTAATTATATTTAATAAAATTACATATATTTTATTTTTATTATTTTTTTTTTTTATTCTTTTTTTATTATAATATTTATTTAACATTTACTTATTTTCTTTATTCTTTAAATCATTGCTTTTTATATATTTAATATTTATTTTTATATGTTTCTTCTATTTTACTTTTTAAATAATATTTATTAAATTTTATTTAAACTTTGTTATTTTTTATTATTATAATTTATAAAATTTTCTTTTTTTAAATTATCTATTTATCTTCTTTATTCAAAGAATAATAAGAAATAGATTTACTATATTTTATTTAAAATATGTATTATTATTGACTTGTATTATTTAAGTTTTTATTAATATAGCTTTTTTTTGTAAGAAGAACTATACTTTTTTTATCTTTAATAAAGGAGATATTGTACGATTTTAATTTAAATAGTAATTTACATTCATTAATTATTAGGGTTCCAATTTAATATTTACTTTCGAAAATAGATTTTATTTTACTTCTTATGTTTGCATATAATTAAGAATTATTATATTCTGTTTTTTTTTTTTATCTGATTAAATGTAGTAAAAAAAAATATATATATTAAATAAAAAAAATTATTTACTTCTTTTTGTTCATCTTAAAGCTTTTACTTCTTTTTATTCATCTCCAAGATTTTGTTGATTCAAAAGAAAAAATTATAATTTTAACAACTCTATAGGATTTAATTCTTCAATTATAGATAAATGATTTATTCTATATTTATATATTGTTTTTTAAATATATTTTAATTTTTTAAACATTTGTATTAATTTTTGAATTTATTTTTAATATTTCAATTATATAAATTATTTTTTATGTAATAAATAATAATAATTTTTTTTTTAATAAAAATACGGATTTAATATACAATTTATGTAAAACTTAAAATATATATAATTAATAAATGTTTACATATAAATTATATTGATATTATTATATTGACTTATTAAAAACTATTCTTTATACCTTTTATATTTATTAAATTAATAAATTACAATTTTAATTATTATTATCAATTTAAAATTAAATTAAAAGATTGTCGTTATAATTATTGTTAAAAAAAATTAAAATTATAAATAAATATATATATGAACATATATATATATATATATATATATATATATAATTATATATATATATATATATATATATATATATTACATATTTCATTTTTTTTTCAGTCTATTTTTAATTTTTTTTTATAATTAGAATTAAATTAGTTTTATTTCGTATTATCTTTTTATTTTATTATTATCATTTTCTAACTTATTTAACGGCTAATTATATATTTTAAAATATTAATCATTTTTTTTATTAAAGACTTAATTTTTTTTATTTAAAATAATATTTTTTAAAATTTTTATTCATATTAATTATTTGTTTGTTTTTTCTTTTATATAATCATTATTTATTTATTTATTGTAATTTAATTTATTTTTTAATTAGGTTTTACATTAATTATTTTTCTACCTTAACTCTCTTTTATACTTACCTAAGATAAGATATATGATTGCGAATAATTATTTTATTTTTAGTTATTTATTGTATATTCTTCTAAATTTGAATAATAACTTTTATTTTAGGTATCACTATTCTTTTCAACAAGGTTATTCTTTTTTTTTTTAATTTCTAAAAAAATTAAAATTTTTATTTTCTATATTTATAATTAATATAAATTATATTAAAGGAATTATATAAATGAACTTTATGAATTATGCTCTTTTGTAAATGAATTAATCATATTTTTATATTATATTATATTGTATTGGTATTTTTTTATTTATTTTTAAAATATAATGTTTAACTTCTAACATAATATTTAAATATATTTATTAAATTACTTTTATATTATTTAACATAAAGTTAGTTAAAAAAATATTTATTAATTAAGTAAAATATATATATATATATATATATATGTTTAAAATATACATAAAATGTTTTTTTTTTTTTTTCTTTTTTATTTAATATTTATTGAATATTATTTTGGTTTAATTTTTTTGTTTTAATTATCTTAAAATTCAATAAATTCTATAAAAATAAAATTTCATTTATCATATTTTATAACAAATTCTAAATAATCACCTATCATAAATTAATAACTATTTAAAATTTTATGATCATCTCTTCCATTATCCTTTTCATATATAGTTCCCAATTTTTTATGAATCCATTTATTATTTTTAGGATCCTAATAAATAGAATTTAAGTGAAATCTTAAATTTTATGCTTTTGAATGTATTTTAACGTAACTTAAAATTTAATCTGTTAATTCTCTTAAAGTACTATCTTTCCTTAATAAATATATATGATAATATTTTTTATTTCATTTAAATATATGCTACCATGCGTATATATTACAAAAATTATATTTATCAAAAGCTTTATTTTCTTCAAAATATCCTATTCTTTTTGTTTTGTTTTGTTAAAATATATCTATTAACAAACAATTTTTATTCGAAAAAAAAAAATTACTAAACATTTTCATATTCGATATAAAATACTCTAATTAAAAATGGGCATGCCTATAATATTATTTTTTATATAAATATAATTAATAAAGGCAATTTTTATTTAAAAGTTTTTAATTAAGTTTTCTACTTCATTTCTATTTGGATATTAAGGCCTTTATCCTTGCATCATTTTTTTTTTTAATTTGTAAATACTTATTTTTAATAAATTTTTTTTTTTTTAAAAATAAAATACTTTTAATTCTGAAGATTTATAATAAAATTAATATTAATTTTTTTTAAAAAAAAAAAAAATTAAAAAATTTTAGATAAGAAAAAAATTAAATTAAATTATAAGTAATCTAATATTAAAAAAATAAAAAGTTTTAATAATGATTTCGTAATAATATAATTGCTAAATTAAGAGAATTATATTTTTTTCTATATAATTTTAAAAAAAAAGTATAAAATATTATTTTAAAAAACTAAAATATATATTTTATTCTTAAAAATAAAATAATTTAAACTAAATATATAACTTATAAATATCAATAATCTTATAGTTTAAAAATAAACTACAATACTATAAAATGATTAAAATATATATAAAAAAAAATTAAATTAATAGTCTTAAAAAAAATAAAAAAGATTATAATTAAAAAAAAAAGTAATAAAATATGAAAAGTTTTACTCAAAAAAAAATAAAAAAAAAATAGTAAATTATAAACAAACTACTTTTTTTTTTTTTTCATATTTTTTATAATTTTTAAGAACTCTTTTACACCTCGTCATTTTTATTATTTTTAATATATTTTTCTATAATTCTGACCCCAACAGGGATTGCAAGTAATGTAAAGAAAGCTATCATATGGAAATACGATCCTTTTTTAAGTTTATAGGCATTAACAAAATTAGGATTTTAATAAAACTAATAAGCTGGAATAATAAAATATTTATAATATGCCGAACATAATATTAAAAAACAGCCACAACTACCCCCAAAACAAATCGGCAATGAAAAAACCAAATAATAATTTCCTACTAAATTAAGTATAAAGCTTATTCCCATATACCCTATCGCTTATTTTTTATCAGTGCACATAATATATCCTGCCTTTTAGTAGTCTTTTTAATATTACCATAATATTCCAAAAAAATGCTAATGTTACCAAAAAACTAAATACAAAAAATAATATAAAGGATAGGGGTTTAAAAGATTACCCCCAGCAGCCACATAACCTAAAAAAGGAGTTAAAGCACCTATAACAGCCCCTACAGGAGTATTTAACTAAGTGATTCTTTTCAGAGGGGTATATATAAGAATATAACTGAAATAAATCGTATTTGCTACATATAGAGTAGTTAAGGGATAGTACATGTAAAATAATGCATTGGAAGATAAATATGTGGCCAATATTATAAATTAAGCATTTTCTTTGGTTATGAGACCTGAAGGAAGGGGCCTATTCATTGTTCTATTCATTAATTTGTCGAAATTTATTTCTATTAGTTAATTTGTTGTTTAAGAACTCATAGCCATTAATTAAGTTGCGAGGGCAAATGGTAATAAATTAAAAGATATATTTCCTGTGTAATATATGAAAGTGGCACATGCTACAAATGTATTATTTAATGAAAGTTTAAATTTTGTTAAACTTTCAAAGTCTTTAAAGTTAAACATTTTTCTTGGAGCTACTTGTATAGTTTCTGGTATTTAAACTGTATTTGAAATTGTTTTCTGAATTTTTTAACATTCTTAAAGAGAACGCATTTAATTTTTTTGATATATGGATGCTTAAGGTGTTTAGGATAAGCTTTTATATTAAAATACATGGGCATAATTAATGCTATAAATTTTATGTTTTAGAGGGACATTACTTAATATTTATTTTAATAAAATATTCATTTTTTTTTTATTATTCCTTTTTTTTATATATTTATAATTTTTTAGTAAAAAAAAAAATGTATATAATTTGATTTTTATATATCTTTAATTTTTTTTATTTTATACAATTATATATTTTTTTTTTAATTTAAAAATATAAAAAAGATAAAGCAAAGAAAAAAATAATAAAAAAAATGATTAATATATATAATTTAAATTAAGATTAAGAAAAATATAAAAAAATGTATAAATATAAATATATATTTATATATTATTATATATTAATATATAAATATATAATAATATAAAAATATATATATATATTTTTATTTTTTTTATTTTATTTTTTATTTTATTTTTTTATATATTTTTTATTTTAAGCTCAACTTATATAAAAGTTATATAAAATTTTATTAATTTTTTTATTATTATTTATATATTAATAAAATTACCAAAAAAAATATAAAAGCCTTTTCTAAAATTTATTGTATGTTTTTTTTTTTTTGGTAAATAAAAAGAAAATAAATTAACTTTAATATACAAATTAAGTATAAATATTCATCCATATCTAATATCTTATCCTCTAACATCTATAACTTATTTTTCCTTACTAAATCCCATTAATTTTCCAGTATTAAATCTATAATTCTATTTCTAAAAAAACATTACCTCTGAATCATTTACACAGGCTTAATAAGGTAAAACATACCCTCCTTATTCTGGTAAAACACCATATTAATCATATCCGAATATCTCATGATGTAAATCTTTATCAATATTGCAAAAATAAATTTTTTTATTCAAGAAACTATTATTATTTCCTTAAATATATTTATTAGAATAAAAATCATATGTATCAAATTAATTTTATGCGCCTGGAATATAGGAATCACCTCCGAAAATCATAATTTGGTTGTGATTAATTTAAATACATACCATATTTCTGAAAAAACTGAAATTTTATTAAATACTATTATCTATATCATATTAAATTACCTTCCAAGAATCAGCCAAAATATCATATTTTTCGATTATTTTAGATATCTTATTATTGCTATCAACTCCCCCAATTTTATATATGCTTTTCTTGTTAAAAAGACATATAGAAGACCATAATACAGCATATTAACAATTTGCCATTTATGTCCATTTATCATATTATATATCATATATTTCACATTAAGTAGTTAATATATTATCTTTTATTCCAGAACAGATAAATATTTAAGTATTTTTTTCAATTAGGCATAATCCAAAGTTTTTTCTTTCTATTTCACTTAACATGTTTTACTTTTTCTGTAAGTTTTAATGGCCAGATATGGTATTATTACTATCAAATTCATATAAATAATTAACGCTTTTACCTCCGAGTAAAAAAACCTTAAATTCGCCTATTCCAGGGACTATAATTTAAGAGTGTTCTGGAGGTACAACTATATTTATAGGGAAATCTATTTTTTCTAAATATGAATTTTTTTTCTCGTTTATATGTATTATAGATAAACTATTTTAATAAGGGGTAAAAAAAGCTATTCCTTTGTATTTTTTGGTCTTAGTTTCTTAGTTAAAGTCTATGTCATAAATTTCTATTTGTCTTAATTATTGATTTGTTAGAGATATGGAATTTTTCTTGTTTGTTTTTTTATGGAAAATTTCTTATAGGGATTTTGGTATATTATTAATGCTATTGTTATTGTTTTTTTTTTCAATATCTTTTTGTAGTATATTTGGTAGGGTTTATATGTAAGAATTTTTTTTAAATAATTATTCTTTTTTATCATTAAACTTGTCTATATCGAATTCTTGGTTATTAATTTTGGAAAAATCGCGGGATAAATTTTAGAGACGAACTAATTTATTGTTTTCAATCATTTAAGGTAGAATTAATTACACGTTCCTATATTATTTACATACTTCTTGTAATTATTTTTTAGCTAAAACTGATAAAGGCTTAAATGGTTCTGAAAAATTTTCCTATTCTAGGGATAAAGTACCTAATTTAAGTGCTAGATTAGCAATTTATCTTGTATATTTATATTCTATATCTTCTTCTATATTATTATTATTGTCTTTTTTATATAAAAATTGCTCTTAGAAAGAATTTTACGATTATATCCTGGAATTTGAAGATTATTATTAGCCTTATTATTGAAATGTTTAGCGCCTTTTGGTTGCATATTTTTCAGTTTATTCAATAATTGAGACGTATCTTTTTTTTTGATTATTATTATATATAGAAATAAATTATATAGGAATAAATTTAATTTTTTATTCTAGTTCTATTTGTTCATTTATGACGAAATTTTCTGCAATTATTTCGAGTTTTTAACTTAGGTTTTGATTTTTAGTTTATTTTTTGAAAACTTAAAAAACGCCTTCAGTTATTTATTTTAATAGAGAACAAAACTCGTATTAAGGAAGTCCTTTTTTAAAATTGTTTTTTTAATAGAAAGAATTTGATCTAAACTAACTATTATACTCCTCCAATTAATTTTTTTTTAAACAATCCAGTTCTTAAGACAATTCGTAAAATAATCCACTAAAAAATATAATTTATAGATCTTCTTTCTACATGAAAAATTAACCAAAATCAACTCATAACTATATTTATAGATTTTAAGAACGTAAACTGAATCTATTTTAGAAAATGCGTATATATCTTTTTATAATTCGGAATATTCAGTTTCATCATCAGTACGTCTTTCTATTAAAACGAACTTTTTTTGTATATGAGTGTCTATGGCTTCATGGGCAGTTATATATTGGGTTTAAAATATTATTTTATGCAGATATATATTATTGAAGAATTTATCAAAAGGCTAAAACATTATTTGTATTATTTTTTTACAGTTAAATAAAATATTTTTTTTAAAATTTTATTACATATATTGGCGTTTTTTTATTACTTATTTTTAATTTTTTTTTTTGAATTAAAAAATAAGTATGCTTTTATAAAATTTATTTTGTAATAAAAATAAAATATTCTACAAATAAATAATATTATATAATTATTTATATATTAATTTAAAGAAATTTAAAATAAAAATATAATGATATTAATAGTGTATAATAAATAAAAAGAATATATATATATATAATCATATATATATTTCATATTTATTTATTAAATTAATTAATCTATTTTTATATATAAAATCATAAATTGCTTAAAAATATCTAATCAACAGAATAATAAAATTAAAAAAGTAATAATAAATAATATAAATAAATTGCTACCACTAATTAAATAGAACAAAATAAATTTAAAAAAAAAAAATTAAAAAAAAAAAAATTCTCAAAAATTTATAAAAATGTCATTAAAAGATTTCCAAATAATATGTAAACTAGGAGAAGGTGCATTTGCTTAAGTATATAAAGTCCATAGATATTCTGACAAAAAATACTACGCCATGAAAACTATAAAATTCAACCGTTTAACCCTGAAAGAAAAAGAAAATGTTCTCACAGAGATTCATTTTCTCGCCTGTCTAAAAAGTCCATATATAGTTGAATACAAAGATTCTTTTATAGATGAGAAATCGTCTACTTTATATATAATAATGGAATATTGTCCTGGAGGTGATTTTTTGTCGAAAATTCGAGGACTAAAACCTTAATAATATATCGATGAAATTTAAATATGGAAATATGCTATATAATTAATATAAGGTTTGAAATATTTACATGATCTTTCTATTTCACATAGAGATTTTAAATCTGCGAACATATTCCTTTCGAAAGACAATTCCATTGTAAAAGTCGGAGATTTGGGAGTTTCTAAAATTGCTGAAAATGGACTTCTTTAAACTTAAACTGGAACTCCTTATTATTGTTCACCTGAAGTATGGTCAAATAAACCTTATAATTTTAAAAGCGATATTTGGTCCTTAGGATGTGTTTTGTATGAGATGGCTTAATAAACTACTCCTTTTAAAGGCTAGAATATGGAAATTATATTCAATAAAGTACAAAGTGGAGAATATTAGAGATTAAATGAAAGATATAGTTAAGATCTATAGAAGATTATTTGTATGTGTTTATAGGTAAATCCTAAGAATAGATATTCGGCAAATTAATTAATGGAAACGGAAGAAATTAAATAAAGAATTTATTTATTTTAATAATAATAATAGGTTAAAGAAGAAAATATTTTAGAATAAAAAAGTTTACTTTTAAAAGAATTTAAAGATGTGGCGTCTTTAAAAGACTTGAAAAAATTAAAGGCTTTTTTACCACCTTGTTAATATTAAAATAATCAGATTTCTTGCTGTTTATTGGGAAATTATGATAATCCATAATAGGAGGAAGTTAAAAGATATAACTCTAATAATATATATAAGGATTTGGTGTAATCAATTGATTACAATTAATAATATTAGTTCAATTTGTAATAATAAATATAGTTATATAAAAAGACATAGCAAAAATAAACTAAATCCGAATTTAATTTAGATATATATTTAATGAAACAAAAATATAAAAAAATAATTTATCCTAATTAATATAGTTAGTAGTAGTAGTAATATAAATTACCACCTATTTAAAAAAAAATTATTTGTGTTTAAAAAAATATAATTAATAAATGAATTAGTTTTATATAAAAATTATTTTTATATATAAATATATTATTTAATACATATTATATATATGTATTTTTAAAAAAAAAATATATATTACAACATTTATATTTTTATTATATTATTATTTATTATTCTGATTTAATCTCATTGAATAAGATATTTCGAAATATTATTTTTTTAGATAATTTAAAAATTTTATATAAAAATTATATATTTTAGTTTTCAAAATGATGTTTAGTTTGGATAAATATTTAGTATAACAAAAATAAAGTAATTTTAACAAATGAACAAAATATTTAAAAAACAGAAAAATTGTATGTATAAAGAAATTATAATATATAATTAAAATATAATATTATAGATTTAAATTAAATAAAAAATAAGTTTTTATGTTATGTAAAATAAAAATATAATATAATGATATTATTAATAAAAATAAATGTATAATTGTAATTAAAAACATATATTTTAGATTATTTAAAAATTTTATTGATGAAAATGATTATTAATAATTGAAATATAAATAATTTTTTTATAAAAAATATTAATAATAATAATTTTTAATTTTATATAAATATTAATTTTGTTTTTTGAAATTTATAATTTATATAAAAATATTAGCATATATTATATAAAATTTAAAACTAAAAAAATAGCAAAAAATAAATAATTATTATTTTATAAAATATTTAAATTATTATATATATATATATATATATATATATATATATATATATACTTTATATAATATATAAAATCATTTTATTATTAATTAAATATTCTAATATTTATAGAAATTTCTCAATTATCTTAATATTTATTATATAACTATTAAATTTAATTTTAATAAATTTTTAGGAAATGAATAGATGATTTAAATTCTTTTATTTTTTTCTTGTCATAAAAAACATTAGAGAACTATCCCAAATGAGGAAATTCTTTTATATTTTAAGCATTTAAAGAAATCAGTACCTTTTTACAAAAGGGAAAATCTTTAATAATAATTTCGTGTAATGTTATAAAAAATTAATAAAAATGATCAATATCTTCTATAAAGTATTTAAAAATTTTAAAATAAATATCATTTTATTTTATTTCTAGTTTCGGATTTTCTTGGAGAACTTCGTTCGCGTCTTTTATGAATTTCTAGAGGATTTTTTCGAAATTTTAAAGTATCTTTTTGATAAATTTTTCTTATTAAATTATTAGGGTTTTAGTTATTTTTTCGTTTTCACTTTATAATTAAATTAAATGTTAAAATTTTTCTAAAATAATTAATAATATTAATGAAGAATCTGAAAAAAATATATTTTTTTTATTAATTGTCTAATTTTTTATTTCTAAAAATAAATATCGCAAATATTTTTTTCCAAAAATTCAAAAAAATACTCTATATTAATTATTATTTTGTCAAAATTTTCATTTATTTTTATATCTTCTTATTCGTTTGCTAAAAGTATATTTAAAATTTCAAAATTCTACTTATCTTTTTCTAAAAAAGGTATATTTTATTTAAATTTCAAGATTTTATATTCGATTTCATCTTCTTTAAATTCCATTAAATGGCAACTATTTTAAGAATTATCATTTTATAAATTATTATCTTAAGAGTTATTTTATTCGATTTATTGAAAAATACTTTTCGTAATATAGTTTTATTCATCAAAATTATCTAAAATAATATTTCTTTCATTATTTATGATTTAAAGATAATACAAATCTTTTATTTCGAGATTATTTTCAATAGCAGAAAACCATAATTTTAAAGATTCAGTACATTTAGTTTATAAAAGAATCTCTTTAGTGTTTTTTTAGGATCTTTAGCTTTCATTAATAAACCTTTTTCGATCATTTAATATGTATATTCATCAAGATTATACATTTACTTTATTGTTTATGTTAATTTATATTTAAATAGTTTTTTTACTTTTGGATTGAAAGGATTTTGTTTATAATTTGTATAAGATTAATATTAATATAAAACTAATTCGCTTAATAAATAGTATTTATTATTAAATGTTTCTTTTATTTATATTTTGATATTTTTTAATTATTTTTAAAATATTATATACTTTCTAATATTATAAAATCTTAAGTTTACTTATCGTTCATATTTTGTAATGCTGTAATATTTTTTTTTAAAATAATTTTAAAAATTTTAATAAAATATTATAATTTTGAATATATAAATATATAAATATATAAATATATAAATATATATATATATATATGTATATATATTTTAATTTAGCTTAGCTACATCTATATAATTGCTTTATTTTCAATGTAAAAAATATCAAATTTTATAAATAATAATATTTTATATAATAAATAAAATTAAAATATATTTTTTTTTGATTATTATTTTTCTATATATTTATTTATATATTTTTATATTATATTAATTTTTTATAATTGTTTTTTTTAACAAGATAAATATCAATCTTTTATTCAATATTATTTTAAAAAATATTATTATATTAAAAAAATAATTATATAAATTTCTTTTTTTCTTATTTTAAATAATAAATAAAAAATTTATATATAACATAAATATAATAAAAATAAAAACATTAAAATCATTTAAACAAAAAAGATTAAAAAATAAATTACATACATATATATTCATTATACAATTAAATAATTTTCATTTTTAAAAATATTATCTTGATGAATTTTAGTTCTGGATAAAATTTACATAAAAGTTTATTAAATGAAAGTGTGTATAATAAGTCATTAAATAATTTAGACTATTAAGAATTTTTATCTTAAAAAATATGTTTAATAAAAGATTCGTAATTAAGTTTTTATAGTCATTCTACAATATTTAAAAAAAAATGGGTTTTTAATCGATTATTAAAGATGAATTTTAAAGAATAAAATATAATATACGCCCTAGAAAGTCTAAAAGATTATGAAAAAATAGATAAAATGGTAATTTAAACATAATGCATTGATTTATTATTAAATGATGATGAAAATAATATAATAAACGCTTTTTATGAAAACAAAGATTTTAAAGAATTTATTTAATAAAAAAAGTAAGAAATATATTAAAATTTTCAAGAAAATCAAGCATTTTCTTAATATTCTTTTTCTTCTTCTATTTAATCTTATAAACCTATAATTGTTTAGTATTAATATTAAAATAGTAATAATAATAATAGAGATTCTTTAAGTAAATTTAATTAAAAAATACATGTAAATGTAAATCAAATTGAAAAAGAATTTTTGTGTAATATATGCTTTTCTGAATCAAAAATAGAAGATATGGTTTTCCCAACATAAAAATCTTGCAATCATATTTTCTGTAATACCTGTATTTAATAATATTTGAAAAACTTAATTTAATAAAATTAAATCTTAAATATATCATGTCCTCAATACGGATGTGAATAAAAATTAAATGAAAAAGATATAAAAAGATGTCTTTAAAACGAAGAATTTTTTTAAAAATATATTAAATTCAAATAAATAATGTAACTTAATTCAGATCCAGATATAAGATGGTAAAAAAATTTATTAATGTTTTTATTAACTTTTAATAATATAAAAAAATAATTTTTAAATAAATAAATAAAAAATAACGATAAATTAATTTAAAACTATTTTAAATCATAAACTGGGTCATTAAACAATTAAAGTGAGAAATATCAAATATATATATATATATATATATATATATATATATATATATATATATATATATTTATAATATATATATATTTTAATTTTTTATACTTTTTTTATTTTATTTTTTTATTTATAAGGTGTATTGGCATTGGTTGTGAAAATCCTATAAAAGGAGAAAAAGGCTAAATTTAATTAACTTGTAATAAATGTGGTTTATAAATGTGTTATTTTTGTACAAATTTATGGCATGAAGATTTAGATTGTGAAAGTGCAATAGATTCTGAATACAAGATAATTATATAGAAATTTTAAGTTAAAAATTGTCCTTAATGCTTATCTCGTATATAAAAATCAGAAGGATGTAATCATATGAAATGTCCTAGATGTAGTCATTAGTTTTGTTGGCTCTGTTTGAAAAAATATACCACAAGTCATTATAATTAATCGAATATTTTTGGATGTCCGGGATTGTAATTTGCATAGGTTATTCCATATTTGCATATTTATAAGGTTATTCTTTATTATTTATTGACTTATTTTGGCTTTTTTTTACATTGGGCTGGATTTATGTTAGTTTTACCCTTATTGTGTGTGATTTTTGGGTTAGGAATTCTTAATTTTTTGTATTTTTATTTAAAGCATAAATCATATACGGGATATATTTGTTCGGATATTTTAAGTTTTAAGGAAATATTTAAGTTTTTTTTTATATTAATAATTAGTGTTTTAACAATACCTATAAATTTATGTATTCTATTAATGTTAGGTTTTTTTTTGCTTATTAAGAAAATATTTTTGAAATGAAAAAAATATAATTAATATATATTTATTTTATATATTTTAAAAACAAACAAGAAGTAATATAAAATCATTTTTTCTTATATTCTAAAGCACATCTATAAAGAGAAGCTACAAAACTTTATAAAAACTTGCTATTAATATCCACAATATGTTCCCAAACAATAAATACAGCTGCTTCAAGTTTTCTAGAAACCGAAATAACATATTTAGCATTTTCCATAACTTCCTAATCATTTTAACCTGGAGTTACAAAGTCTTTATTAATTATTTAAGGTTCTATAGATTCCAAAAGTTTAATGAAAAAATGAGAGCTTTTTAATTTCTTATCTCTAAAGTTATTTATTTTATATTAAGGATCTACTATTCGATTATTTGCCCAATCGATTAGTTAATTTTCAGTCATATCTCCTATACATTCGAGTTATTATTTTTTCATTAATTACCAGACTATTGCTAAAATAAGCTTTTTGTTTCCATTTACTATATCTACGCCTCCAATTCCCACTAGTTAGCATCCTAATTCTTTCGCTATTTAAATAGCATAGTTTGCACACTGTATTTTATTTAATTTGGTTCTATTTTTTAATTATGCCTTAACTTTTTTCATATCGACTTTTCCAGGTACTAATTTATCCATTACTAGACAAAGAATTTCTCCATCTCTTAAATCTTATATTAGATTATTTATATAAACACCTTCTAAATTTAAAGAATTGATCCACATTCTAAAAACTCTTTCCTCTCTTGGAGTTTCATAGTCTTTATCATCGTCTATAAGTTCCGCAGCGTCTACTTTCTCTTATTCTGTAGGTTCTAATCCTGGACAATTATTAAATAAATGTGCAGTGAAAATCAAATTAAGCTTTTAATTGCAGTTCATTATGTCCGTGTATTTAATACAATTAGGAGGTAGTCCTAGTTATTTGGAGTCGTTTATTATTTATTTAAGACGATCTTATATTGAAAGGGAAAGTGCGGATAAATCTATTTTTTAATTAGAAATTTAATTCAATAGATATACATAGGATTCTCCGTTTTATAAATCAGTTTCGAAATTGGAAATTCTATTCTTTTTTGCATTATTTAAATGGTAATTAAACCATCTCATCAGTATTTCTTCTTTCGAAAGTTTTAATAAATCAGCTATTTCCTCTTCTTCTTTTTCAATCGGATTAAATAAGGATGATGTTTCAAGTCTAGATTCCCCATAAGATGTATTTTAATAATTTACCATAATAAACCCAAAATAATATGCTCTGATTTCTCTAAAATATTCGTAGAATGAACATTTACGCAAATGCATCCGATTGCCCTAGCAGAAGTTATTGCTAAATTTATGTTTTCCTTTATTTTAAAAATATTCAAGTTATCAAAATTTATAGCCTTCTCAGATATTGTATTTGGTTAGGCTTTATTTATTAATTTGCATAATAAAACTCCAGTATCTACTGCTTAGAATAATTGGTCAGATTCAGGGTTTATTGGTAGAAGGCTTTTTAATTAAGGATCATCTTTTAATGAATTGTTTAAGTGTTGGGAAAATGCATGGACTTCTCCTTGAGTGTAGGAGTGAGTGGCTATAGTTTCGCCTACTCTGGAGGCAACACGGATACGATTTTCTTATTATGTGTTTGAGTTTTTACGGAGATTTATGTTATCCATATTTTTATTTGTTATTATAATATATATTTAATTATATATATATATTTTATGATAACTTATAAAAAAAAAAAATTACTATTTTATGATATAATAAATATATATTTTTTAAATTAAATATTTAAAATTTAAAATATTTATAATAAATTTTTAAATATAATATTTATAAATAAAATTTATAATTTTCTTTTTTTATCAGTTTTCTTATATTTTCTTATGTTCTAAAGCACATCTATAAATAGAAGCCATAAAAGTTAACAAAAACTTGCTATTAACATCCGCAATATGTTCCCAAACAATAAATACAGCAGCTTCAAGTTTCCTACAAACAGAATCACATACTTAGCGTTTCCATAACTTCCTAATCAGTTTAACCGGGAGTGACTAGATCATAATTAACAACTAAAGAATCAATAGATTACAATACTTTAAAAAAGAAATGAGAACTTTTTAATTTCTTATCTTTTAAGTTATTTATTTTATGCTAAGGTTCTAAAATTCTACTATTAGCCCATTCAATAAGTTTATTTTCAGTCATATCTCCTATACATTCGAGTTATTATTTTTTCATTAATTACCAAACTATTGCTAATATATATTTTTTATTCCCATCGACTATATCTTTTCCGCCTATTCCCACTAATTAACAACCTAATTCTTTCGCAATTTAAATCGCATAGTTAGCACATTATATTTTGTTTATATTTGTGATTTTTTTTAACATACCTTCGACTTTATTCATGTCCACTTTGCCAGGCGCTAGTTTATCCATGACTTAACATAATAATTTACCGTCTCTTAAATCTTATATTAAATTATTTATATATAAACCTTCTATATTTAAGGAATTTATCCACATTCTAAAAACTCGTTCTTCTCTAGAAAGCTCTTAATCATTGTCATCATCTATAAATTTAGCTAGCGTCATCTTTCTCCTATTCTGTGAGTTCTAGTCCTGGGCAATAATTAAAAAGATAAGCAGTAAACATCAGATTAAGTTTTTAATTAGCACTCATTATGTCAGAATATTTAATACAGCCGGAGGGTATTCCTAAGGAAATAGAGTCATTTATCAATTTTTGAAGGCGATCTTCTACAGAAAGGGAAAGAGCGGACAAATCTAATTTTTAATTAGAAATTTAATTCAAGAGATAAACATAAGCTTCTCCATTTTTTAAATCTGTTGTAAAATTCGAAATTTTTCTCTTTTAGCATTCGATAAATGGTAATTAAACCATCTTGTGAGTAATTCTTCTTTCGAAAGTCTTAGTAATTCGGCAGCTTCTTCGTCTTCTTTTTTCAATCGGATTAAATAAGGGTGAAGTTTTAAGTCTAAACCTCCTAAAAGGTGTACTTTTATGATTTACCATAATAAGCCTAAAATAATATGCTCAGTTTTGTCTATTATATTCCCAGAATGTACATTTATTATCACACAACCAATTTCTCTAGCAGATGTTATTGCTAAATTCAAATTTTCCTTTATTTTGAAAATATTAAGCTTCTCTATATTTATTGCCTTAGTAAATATTGTACCTGGACAAGCCTTATTTATTAGTTTACATAATATAATACCGTTTCCTACTGCATCAAACAATTATTTAGATTCTGAATCTATAGGGAGTAGGCTTTATAAATGTGGATCATCTTTTAAAGAATTGTTTATGTGTTGGGAAAATGCGTGAACTTCTTCGGATGAGTAAGAATGAGTAGATTATCCTTCTTAGGAGGCTACAGGTATTCGGACTGCTTATTGTTATGTAGCAATATTTATATTATCCATTTTTTTTTTAATTAATTTATTTAAAATTAAAAGATAAATGTAATTTTTTTTGTTTTACTTTTTTTATTATCTTATAATAAAAAATAATAAGAAGATAATGGTTAATCAAATATATTTTTATTATATATAATATATATTTATTTATTTAATATATTAAAAAATTAAATTTAGATTTAAATAGGTTTAAATAATAAATTTTTATCCTTAAATATAAAATAAAAAAATAAAAATAAAGCTTTATATTAAAAAAAATAAAAAAAAATATATATTTTCATTAAATTAATTCAATATTAAATTCTAATTTACAATCCATTATTTTTAATTATTTAGGATCTAAAGGAAATGAAATTTAAGTAGGAAATTTAAATATACTTTCTTTAAATTTACCAACATTAACATCTCCATTTTAATTAAGAAAAGACATTAAAAAACATCCGAATTCTTATTCATCTACCTATTTATTGAAAATTATATAATAAAATTATTATATATGAATATAAATGTATATATATTTATATATATATATATATATATATATATATATATATATAAATATATATATTATATTTTATAATATTTAATATTTTTTTTTATATAATACTTATATAATTTTATTTTACATTTGGAGCTTTTTCAGATACTAATTAAATAAAAATAAATAGATTATTGTATTTTTTTTTAATTTAGTTTAAATCTATATAGAATATTGCTTCTTCGTTTATTTTATCTAATTTTATTAATTTTAAATTATATACATGTTTTATATACATTTATGGTACTTAAATTATTTTTAATATCATGATCATACATAAAATCTGATTCAAAAATACATTAGTCATTATTTGTTTATAAAATTACATTTTCTATTGAATTTTCACATAGAGTTAAATTAAAACTAATAGAAACCTTTTATTTTTAATTTGAAACTTCTATAACATTAATTTTTAGAATTTCTTTTATTTAAAATTATTCTTATTTTGTATATTTACTTTAAAAAATTTCCTTTTTTTAAATAAGATATTTAATATATATTTTATATATAATTTATATATATAAATTTCAAATTTTAATATATATATATATTTATATATATATTTTTATATGTGTATATATATATTTTTTTATATATATTGCGTACATACATAATCAAGTTTTATTTAAGTTTTTTTAGCTTCATTTAATTTATATGGATATTTTTAAAGTTTTGGTTCATATAAAAAAAGACTTTATCTTCCTAAAATTAGATTATTATTTTTCATTATAGGGAAAATACACCATGCTATCAATTAATACTCTTAATCTTTTATGATATAAAATTATTACTAAACTTTTATTTTTTCTTGTTCCTTTTATGTGTAATCTTTCATTAATATATTTGGATTTAATTCATATATATATTCTTCATCTAAATTTAATATGTTCCTTTAATCTGTTTTTTAACCTCTTATTATTTTTTCATAATTACATTCTTGTTTATTTTTTTATTTTATTATGACATCTTCTAAAAATATTGTCCCTTATATTTTTATTGTTTCTCCGTATTTTTATATATCATAATATTTTAATTAATAAAGTACTATTTTTAATCCTTAATCATCCTATTTTGTATTTAATATAGTTCCTATATATATATATATATATTTTATAGTTAGTTATTTTTTTTATTAAAAAAAAAAACCATTTATTGTGGATTATTTAGTAATATTTCCCTATTATTTTTTATTTCTAGTACTTTTCATAGTTTTTATTTAAGAATATTCAGTTTATATATTTGTACTTAATTCCTTTTTTTAAAAAAAATTAAATAAAAATAATTATATATTTATATTTTTACATATTCAATTTCTATTTAAGATTCTTTTTTTTCTTTAGAAAAAGGCGGATTTTATGCTGGAGGTTCAAATAATTTAACTTTTTTAATTCCTCTATTAAATTTGAAATTGTGGAATATGTTAATTAAATGCCAACCTATTTATTATCCATTTTAATCGAAATAATTGATAACGAGGATATATTTGGAAAGATCTTCTAAATTTCTAAATAAAAGAATTTATTTTAAATCCAAATCATAAATTTTTTAATAATTCAATTATATTATATCATCTTTTCCATCTTTTTTTAATTTAATAGTCTAAGAATCTGCTACTTGTACATTTTTCATATCTTTGATAACTTTTTTTTAATGAATAAGGGCAGATCTTAGTGTTATTTCTGAATTTTTTTAACTATTAGTATATCCTTTTATAGAAAAAACCTTAAATTTAAATTATGTTATATCTTCGAATTTATCAAAACTATTTTAATTATCATCTATATATTTTTCTATATTTTTTTTTTATTTTTTTTTATTTTTTTACTTCTGTCAGCATTTTATATAAAATTATCCGAATAATCTTTACCAGTATTATTACTAAAGTATTTTGCATTATTTTACATATTAAATGTTTCTTAAAAATCTATATGTTTCTTGTCATCATAATCATATTAATTATATTAACTATAATTATGTAAACCATAATCATTTTCATTAATTTATTAATTTCTATTAGCATCCCTTAAAATAACCACGTCTTTTGGCTCTATAATCTCATTTCCTTATTCCATATCATTTATAACTTTACTAGTATTCTCATTATAAAAAATATTGCTTTATCTTGAATTTATTATTTATTATAATTCTTCTTCATCATCACTACTACTATCTTAACAAGGTAAAGGTATAATTTCATGTTATAATTATATATCTAAAGCTTATTTAGGTTGTAAAAAAGGAGGTTTTTAAAACGGAGGACTAAATAAGCATTAAGTAAACTTTCCTTATATATAAAAAGAATATTTAATAATATGTAAATAAAAAAGAAAAAGTAAATATTAAAATAATTAATATATAAAAATATAAAATAATATATAAACCAATACATTTTTTTATTACCTTAATTAAATCTTACATTTGTATATAAAGGAAAAACTTCCCAACCAATAAGTTTTCCATTTTTATCATATAAATTTATAAGTAATTTAAATTTTTCCAAATCTTCAATAGTATTATATTCACTAATAACTGGTCTTAAATCCAAATCTAAATCTTTTTTTGCTTTTCCCAACATTTTAAGTCCTTTTCTAAAGCATTTTATTTATAGTAAAAAAGCACAATTTTAACCACTTCTATCTATATAGACTTCTTGTCCGTAAATTAAAGCTCCCCTGAGTGTAATTATATCGCCGTATTTTTCCATTAATGGGTCTAATTTATGGAATTTAAACCGAAAACCTTAGACTCCAACTATATCGTTTATATTATATTTTAGTCGGATTTTTTTCGTTATTTTTTGTTATATATTTTTTTTTGGGAAGGGTTTTTGGAAGATAAGTTAATATAGTTTTTGTCAATTAAAATTTAATCAAAAGGTGGTTACTCGTAATGGATTAATTTTGTGGGTTTTATTAGATTTGTTTCAGGAAGTTGGTTTATTTCTTAAGTGTAATCTAACCAAGTGTGCTTTTTGTTCATGTAATTAGATAAGATTTATCTCACGAGGTTTAAATGAGCACTTATGGTACCATATTCAGGAGAAAAGGGAGGTATTTTTCTTAAATTAAGAATCAAATCAGCCTCTAAAGCTTTAAAATATTCAAGTTATTCCACTTCTTTATTAGAAGCTCTAGGAAATTAATGAGACATACCAGATACGTAAGGCCATTCCATTTGAAGGTTTAAAGGTTAAGTATATAATTCATTTTTACCAGATGAATTATTGTTCAATGGAGGTAGAATTTATATTTAAGGATTATTTCTTTAAGCTAGTAAAATTAAAGACAATTAATCTAAAGTAAAAGTTTAATTTGGATATTAAGGGCCTAAAAAATTGGCTCTCCAATCAATTAAATCGGGATGTTAGAAATTCCATAAATCATAAGGTTTCTAATAATAAAGAATATATATAAATATAAATTTATATATTTATATATATATAAAAATATATATTTATATATTAATAAAAATAAATTTAATATATATTCTTTTATTTATATTTATCACTATTTTATATTATTATTATTTTTTATAAAAAAAAAAAATTAATAAATTTATTAATATATAAATTTATTATTCCTATTTTTTGAATCATATCATTAAAATAATAATATATAAATAAAAATACTAACAAGATAAAAAGAAATATATATATATTTTTTTTTTAATTACTTCTATTTCTTTAGGAGGTGTATTTGGCTTTATAATCTCTTTAAATACAGGTTTATAATTATCTATTTATGGAGGAGGGGTATTTGGCTTTTTTTATGGTTTATTAAGAAATGCATTTAAATCGAAATGAAATTTTTTTCTATCCTAATATAATTTTTCTTTTTATTTTAATAATTTTTATAGTCTTTCCAATTCTTTATATAAAAAATCTTCTTTTATAATTCCATTTAATAAAAGTTCGAAATCTGCTTTCGCATAAAAATCTATAAATACAGATAAATTATTTAAAAAAGCTTCTTCTTTTTCAGTTAATTATTTTCTTTAATGTACTAATTCATTTAACATAGACTTTAATTCAAGTAAATCTGTATTATTCTTAGCCATGTGAGTAATTTTCTATAAAGCTTATTCTAACATTACTTAATCTTCGAAATGATTAGCTTATAAACCTTTTTCAGAATCTAATGCCATTAATACTTATAAACAATCAATTTCCGATTATTTACTTTATTTTATATTTAGACATATACAAATATATATATATATAAGAAAAAATTACCGGTTAGGTTCATTTCTTTCATGCTTTTTTAAATATTCTAAAGCTCGTTCACCTAATATTGAATATTGATCAGGATTAAATTTTATATCTTTTATGCTTTTTTATTTCCCTTTTTAACCTGTTTTGTGTACATACTAGGCTTTTTTTATATATATTTTTTTTTTCTTTTGTTTTTTTATGTTTTTATTTTACGCGTTTTTACAGAATAAAATGCATTATTTTTTTAAAAGCCTTAAAAATTTGTTTACATTTTTTTAAGAAATGAATGTATGTTATTGTATTTTTAAATATTAATTAATATATTTTTAAATAATTTTTTTAAAAAAAAAAAAAAATTAATTAAATGATAAGAGTTTATTTATTTTTATATCAAATAAAAACAAAATTTTTAATATTAAAAATCAAAATTAATTCAATAAAGAATTAAAGAATTGAAAAGAAATCTTATATTTAAAAATACTATAAAATATCTAGTTTTTAAAAATAAAATAGTATTTAGATATGTTTGACAGTTTTATATACAGGTTATTATTTTAAAATTATTAAATAAAGTAAAAATATAGACGATTCTTCTACTTCTATTATAAATCGAATTTATTTTTTACTGTTTTATTAAAAATTAACAAAATAGAAATGTGTTTATTCATAATTTTGATTATTTTCTTCTTTAAAAGATTATTAACTTAAATTTTTTATTTATTAATGTTTTAAAAAATTTATTTTTATATATTTTTATTTTTATAATAATTAATAGAAAATCGTTTCAATTTAATATTAAAAATATAAATTAATAAAACTTTTAATATTTAAAAATTAAACTTAAATAATTTCCTAATATTAATATTTATATAAATATATATAAATATATATAAATATATATATATTATTTTATATTATAATTTTTCATTTACTTAATTTTTATTAAAAGAATATTTTTATTTAATATTATTTTTATAATAAAAATTATGTTTTTTCTAATAATATATTAAAAAAATTATTTTTTATTGTATTTGCTTTAATAAAATATTCAATTTATTATTATATTCAAAAAACATATATTATTTAAAAAATATTTTTAAATTATTTTTATCTTAACAATGATAATTTTTGCATGATATCAAATTATTATATTTTTTTTAATTAAATTAAAATAATTTAAAAATATGATATTTAATATTAAAAATGTTAAAAAAAAACTAATATTATATTAAAAAAATAATATATATACATTTTTCAATATTTATTGGAATATATATTAAAAAAAAATACATTTAATACTTTTTATTTTTGAATTAAAATGTATTAATATTGTATTTATAAAACAAATAAAAATATAAAAAATATATTTTAAATTTATTTTAATTTAATTTAATTTAATTTAATATAATATATATATATATATATTCATATATTTTTATATTTATTTTATATATTACATTATTTTTATTTTAATATATCTTTTATCATTTAATTATTTGCTTTTTTTTTATAATTTTTTTTATTATATTAATTTTATCTTTTTTCTCTTTTTTCTTATATATAAAATTATTTTTATTAATATATAATATTTAAAAACATATCTTTTTGTTAAAGTATATTTTTAATTAAGAATAAGTTGATTTTTTTTATTAATTATTCTTCTTTTTTTCTTTTTTTTTACATAAAACTTATTTTTTTTTTCATAAAAGTTATATTCAATTTTTTTATTCTATTATTTATTTTTACCATATTAATAATTTACATAATTATATAAATGATCTTATTGATCTAAAATATTTCAAACAATCATAATTATAATTTTAATATTTATTTTTGATAATTTTACTTATAATTTTTATTTCTTTTTGATTGTTAGACATAATACATATTTTATAACAAATCTTTTATATCAATTTTATGAACTATATAATATTAGATATATTATTTTTTTAATTTTTTATATTTATAAATTATAATATATTATTAATATTCAATTATTATATTTTTTTTATTTAATATAAAGATAGTAATAATTTTTTATTTTAAAATAAAAATATTCTTAAAATTCTATATTATTAAAAAATAAATATAATTAAATTATAATATAACATTCTATAAATACAAAAAAATATCTTTTATAATTTAATTTTTTATTTTTTTATATCTAAATAATATGTTGTAAATTTATATATTAAATTTTTCAATTAAATTATTATAATTTATGTTATATTTTATTAAATTATGATTTAATAAGAATATTATTATTATTATGATTAGACAATAAATTTTGAAAAATAATAATATTAATTTTAAAAAGTAATAAGTATTAATACTATTTATTTTTTATTTTTATTATTAAAATAAATTTCTATATTTGTATACGAATTAAAATATATGTATATTATATATATTATTTTTAAGTTAATGTATTCTTTATTATTAAAAGTTTAAAAATATATTATATATTTTTTAAAATAAACATTAAAAATTATATTATTTTATTGAAAAATCAATCATTTAAATATTATCTTTATTAGGATTCATGTAATTATTTCAAATAATATTTAATTTTTTTTCTTTATTATAGAATATAATCAAAGCTTTCGAAATTTTCATAATTTTTAAGATAAGCTTATTTAATGTTTTTTTAGTTAACTTAAAGTTCTTTCAATATGTTTAAAATTTATTTTGAAATTTCTATATGTTCATCAATAAAATTTTTATGCTCGTATCTTAAAGTGACTGCAAATCTTAATTTATAATTTATATATGGATCTTTCAATATTTATAGATCTTATTCTTGGCTAGTTGAAAATCTTTTATTTTATAAAAAGTAAATAAATTAAATTTAAAATTAATTATTTATATATATATTAAAAATATATAAATAAATATATATAAATAAATATATATTCATATATAATTATATATTTACATATACATTATTATTATTTTTTTTATATTTAAATCAGATTTACCTGTTTCTTAGGTTATTTAGTATTTTTAAAGCAAAATTAAATATAAAAATTTCATATTTAATAGAAACAGGTATAGTAACTAAAATTTCAGATTAATTTAATTCATGAAAATGACTTATTAAATATACTCTTAAATATAATACAAATTCTAAATAAATATATTTTTTTTGTTTAAAATAATTTAAAATTTTATTTAACCTAAACATATTATATTTCTTTTTAATCTAAATTCTTTTGTTAATTAATTTACTTTTATTTTGTTATTATTATTTTCAACATATCCATCTTGCCAATTTTATTCATTAATAGGTTTCAAAAAAATAATTTCATCTAAACTGATGTCTTATAATGTATGAAATTCTTATTTTATCCACATCTTATATATATAAAATTATAAACTTAAAAATATATAAAAATATATACATATATATAATTATATAATTTATAATATATTAATATCTATAAACTTAAATACTCTAAACCCAAAACTATCGAATAGATTATTATGAAAAGCAAATCCATACCATTATAATAAAAATTTATTAGTTCTTCTACCATAACATAAAAAAACTTATTCTCCTTTTTTTAATCTATATATAAAAAAAATAATTTAAAAATTTATTTATTTATATATAAATATATATATATATATATATATATATTTATTTTTTCTTATTTTATTAATTTTACGGTTTTTCTGTAGCTATTACAAAATAAGTATTAGTATCTTAAATATCATACCAATCCCATTTACTTTCATCACTTATATCACTTAATTCTTCGCTATCTTCATTTTTTTCATTATTTTTCTAATTTTTTTATTTATTTTCTTCTCCATTTTCTTTTAATTTATTAATCTTATTATTATTTTCATTATTTATTTGCTTTATTTAACTATTAATTTGTTATTGTTTTTTATTTTCTTAGTTTTCTTTTTTTTACTCATCTTCTTCTTTACTTTTTTATTTTCTATTGTTATTTTCTTTGTATATGTTTTTGTTTTCTTTTTCATATTCTTCTTCTTCATCTTCTTCTTCCTCTTCTTCTTAATATTCTCTTTCTTTATCTTCATCTTCTTCTTAATCTGATTTAGAGAATTCTTGAAATATTTATTTTTAAATTTTGATATTTTTATAAACATCTTATTTTTATTAATCTTCTTATTTTAATTTAGCTAAATTTGAAATAATTTAACTATTACTTTATTATAATTTCGTAATTTTAATATTTTAATCTTTATTTTATAAAAAATTAAATTTTAATTAAATAAAATATATATATATATATATATATATATATAACTATATATATATATATAACTATATATATATATACTAATAATACCTTCTTTATAAAAATTTTTTTTTTAATAAATTTATTCCGCCTATTCTACTTCATTTTCCTTTAGTTTTTTATATTCCTATTCTCTTTTTTCCTTAACGTCTTCATCTGTATCATTATCTTCAGTTTATGACGTACTTTCAAAAAATAGGTCCCATATATCCCTTTATGGATTATTTTATATTTCAAATGTGTTAATTTCTAATACAAGTTTATTCAAAATTTCATCTTCTAGGAAATTAGTTTCATCTAAATTATAAATTTCATTATTTTTAATAACATTTTTATGTTTTTTGACAAAATTAAGTTTTTTGCTTTTAAAAAAATAATTCTTTTTTTCTAACACAATTTCTGAATCTTTAAAAATTTCCATATTTAATTTCCTTTTTTTTATTTTATAATTTTCACTCTTTTTATCTTCTTCCTTTTCATATTTATAATTTACAATATAATGTGTACGTGAATTATTTGAATGATTAAATAAATCCCCAAAAGGGACCAAACAAGTACATGGTAAAGAATATCCAAAAATCCTCGTCATTATTAATTAATATGCCCAGTTAATTAAAGAAACTTATAAATCTTCTTTTTAGAAAAACTAAGGGTATTTTATTAAACATTCTTATAATTCTGAACAATTTTCTTTAAAATCACGACAATATTCATTAAACTTTTATATGTATTTTTATTTATTTTTTATACATATAATATATATATATTTAATTATATATATATATATATATATATATATATTATATATATATATATATTTTTATGCTTTTATTTTTACTGAATATATTATTTCTTCAGATTCAGTTAATTTTACTTCCTCTATTGTCCAATCATACATTGTATATGATCTCTATATTGTGTCAAAATAAGGTTTATAGAATGATTTTTCGCCCTTTAATTTCTCATGTATAACATACATTGCGATTATGTTAAATTCGGCTTCTGCATTTTCCTCCTCATCAAATAAACTTGGATTTTCATTTATTATATCCTTTAATTCACATTCTTTTATTTAATTTAGACTTATCATTATTTTATTTGGAATACAAGCAATGATCTAAATTTTATTTTATTTTTTTTTAAAAAAAAAAAATTAACTGTATTTGCTGGTATATCTTCAGCCGCAGCTATCCCTGGTATTCCTAAAGGTCCAAATGCAGCAGGAACAATTAACTTTATATTTTTTATTTTGGGTATTTTTATTTATATATTACATATTTTTATAAAAGGCCATTATCCTCACTCCATTTTATAAGGTTTTTATATTATTCTGATTTTTATAATTCTTCTGTTAATTTTGGGTTTAATTAATTTTCTTATATTATTTTTTCATTAATATATTACATTTTTTTTTTTTTGATATAAATTTTAAATATTTTTTTTTTTTAAGTTTTTTGTTTTTTAATTTTTTTTGTTTTTTTTTGTTTTTTTTAGTTTTTAAAAACAAACAAAATTAATTTAAAATTATTTTAATTAAAAGTAAAATATATTTATTAAATTTTTAAATAATAATATTTATTTTTGTCTATATATAATGTATAATATGTCGTATTATATTGTTTATTTATATTTATGAAATCTTAAATTAATTATTTTATTTAAAAAGCAAATTAGACAAATCGTATATGTATATTAGTTAGATTTTTTATATATAGACTTGTATATTTCATATAAAAAGTATATATTTATAAAAAAATATCAAATTGGATTTATTCAATATATTTTATAAACTATTTCCTTATTGCTCGAATTCAAATAGAATTTATATATTGAGTTTCTTTAAATTTAATAATTTTATGTTAAATTGAAATATTAATCTTATCTTTATTATTTTAATTTTAATAATCTAATACATTTTCGACGAATGGTTTTTTATTACTATAATATAAAAATCAAATTATTGTTACATAAAATTTTTGGTTTTTTTTTTTAAAAAAATAAAATAAAATAAAATAATTAAAGTAATTTAATAATAAAAAGTAATTTATTTAAAAATAAAATTATAATTATAACTTTATTATTATATTTTATGAATAAATAAAAATAAAATCTTTATATATTATTCTTAAATAAATATATATATTTATTTAATATATATTTTTTTTTTATTCTTATTTAAAAATAATTGATTTATTATTATATAATTCAATAATATAATACATTTTTTATATTTTTTATAGAAATATATATAAATTCATATAAAATTTTCTAACAAAAAAAAATAAAGGAATGAATTAAGAAAAGATTTAAATTATTATAATTTATATCTTTATTTCTTTTTTTATTATATACTATTCGATATTTATATTCATCCACTTTAGAAAACGTTATAATTATCCTATTAGTGAAAGAAGTCCTTTAATATCAACAATAAATTCATTATGTTCACTATTATTTGTATGCAATTTACTTTTAGGAATTCATTTTAATAATAGTAATAACTAATAATAAAGTTAACTTATATGTATGAGTTTTATAAAATTCGAATGGCTAAAAAATAAATAATATAATAATATAAATAACTATTTATAACCTGTAAATAACTTTTTAAAGTTTTGCAAAATATTTACATATTTATCTAGAATTTTTAGATTAAATTTAATATATGAAATGGCAAATGAATAAAATAAAAAAATCCAATATATTTAATGTAAAAAGAATAAATAATCCATATAGATTACAATATTTTATTTTTAAATAGAAATAGAATTTGTTGAAAAAAGTCTTTAATATTCTTAATAGATTTTATCTTCAAGTAGAACATAATCTTAGTATTCTAATAGTTTAAAAAATAAAATACCTGTTTTTAATTAAAAATTAATTAAAAGTGAGATTTTAATAATAATAGTTTGTATTTTATTAGCTTCTTTATTATCATTAATAACATTTTTTTATGTACTTTTAAAAGAATTAATTTTATAGTTTTTTTTTCTTATTTTCTTTTTAATATAAATAATATTATATATACATATATTCATTTTTTTTTATTTTATTTTTTAAAAAAAGCCATTAATTTCACCTTTTGTTTATTGGGAAACTTATTAATATGAAAATTTATAAGGAAATTATATATATTTTTTTATAGGATATATAATAATATATATTTTATTGGGACTTTTTTTAATATATGCGAATAAAATATTAGAAAAGATAGATAATTAATATTATTTTAAAACCGAAAATTTATATTTTTTTTTAGACTTTGTCATTTTAGGAAATTTTAATTTGTTTTTTTGTGATGAAAAAAAAGGAATTTATATAATTTTTGTAAGTATATTATTAGAATTTATAGGCTTTAATTTTTTGATTGTTTTACCTTTAAAAAATATGAAAATTAATAGAATATGGTATTAAAATGAACTGGCTTAATTAGATTTGAAACATTTTTTTTATTTTTATCCAAATTTTACTTTATATTTATAGTTTATTTAAAATAATTATAAAGAGTATTTTTTGACTAGAAATTTGATTAATATTGTTAATATTTATTTAGATATTTGGAATAATAATAAGAATGGATATTTATAAAAAATTTAAGAATTAATTTAATAAGATGAAAAGGAAACTTTAAATTTTATAGGAAATGATGTTATTTTTTAACATAAAAATAGTAATTAAGTTATTAAAACAACGGAAGATGATTTTCTTTAAATATGTGATTCTGATATATAAAAGATTTATGAGAATTTAGAAGCTAAACTAGTCTACTTTTAGAAAAAATTCTAACAAACTAAATAATATTAAACACTTTTAAATAAATATTAAATACAAAGATTAATAAATATTTTTTTTATAGAATATTAAATAATTAAATGATATATATAATATTTATTGTAATAATTAAAAATATTAAAAAAATAAAAAATACATATTTTTTATTTTTTTATATATAGAAAAATAATAAATATATTATAATTAAAAACATATATTTTGTAAAAAATATATGTAAAATACCTATATAATTTTATTTTTATATATATATAATTTTATTTTTATATCTTTTTCAAAAAAAAATTAAAATTAATAAAAATATCATCTAAATTAAACTTTATCTTAATATTTTCCAGGAATTCTTTAATACTAATCATACTTATTAGTTTTCGCAATAACAAAATTTCCAAGAAACCTATCTCCTTTATCCTCTAAACCCATAAAATTTAAAAATTCTTCACTATCTCTACATTCTTTTGCAAAATTCATACTCGACCAATATCCTCCAAGACCTTTAGCAGCACATTATAAATAAATATTCTACACAGATGTTGATACAGCAGCTATTTCTTCCCATTCTGGCATAAGTTTGTCTTTTTTAGTTTATCTTTTCATTCCTATTCCAATAAAATGAGATGCTTTTGCCAATTCATCAAATTTATTTTATATAGACTAAATTCCTTTATCTCTTTCTTCCTCATTTTTATATATTTATTACCAATTTTTTTCATACCAACTAATCACGAAATTAAATAAATTACTTAAATTAGCTCTTTTATAAACTACAAACCTCCAAGGCTCTGTTTTTCCATGTGTAGGGGCCATATTTGCACATTCTAATATATGGTTTATTTCTTAATCTTCAACTAAATCGGAAAGATAGTCTTTTGGCATTATAGAACGTCTTTTTTTCATGATTTAATGTAAAAATTCGGAGTCTGATATTTCTGTGAGTTTTTATGAAATAGTTTAGGGTGTTTTTTTTAATATTAAATATGAAAGACATATTAAACCTATAATAGAACTTATTTATAATGTTAGAAGGAAATCTATTAGCTTTTCAGAGTCATTATTATTTAAATTTAACCAAAAAATCCTTAATTGATCTTTAAAGTATTTTTCAATTATTTATTTAATTAAATATGATATTGCAATTATTACTATTATGTTTTGAGACATTATTTATTGTTTAATTTATAAAAAAAAAAAATATTATTAAGGATATTTATATGAAAAATTTATTTTATTATTATTAAATATTACAATATATATAAATATATATATATATATATATATATATATATATATATTTTATATATATTAATATTTCTTCTACTATATAATATTTATATTCATTTTCTTTAATTGCCTTTAAATATGACTTTTTTATATTCTGGAAAATTCGGTTCTTTATATATTTTTATAGGCTTAATTTATTAAACATCAAATTATTTTTTTTCAATAACTTTTTCTATTTAAAATCTTTTAAATGTATTATAAAATTCCTAAAAATCAATTCTTCTTGAATGAGATATATTTATAGATTTAAATATATAAATAAACTCTTCTATATTAAATTAATTTTCTTAAAATTAATTTAAACAATCTTAAAAATCTTTCAAAATCAAATATCCTTTCTATTATTTATCAACAAATTTGAATATATTTTAAAGCTTTTCTTCATCTCCTTCTAATTCTTGTAAACTAGATATTAATTTTTCGCTTTTTAAAGCTGCTTGGAATACTTTTTTCAAAAAAAAGCAACTTTCTTAATTTAAAATATAATCTTGTTTTTTATTCAAATGTATTCCTAAATGTAAACTATCATATATATTTTTTTTATTTTTATTTTTTATTTTATTTTTTTACATTTATTCATTCCAAAAAAATTATTAAAAATTATAAAAATTCCATTTATTTTAATCTTCTTCTTAAGTATGTCTTTAGTATATTTTTTTCATAAATTCTTCTATATAAGGTATTTATAATATTTAAAGACCGCTTATAAATGTTTAAAAATCCACAAAACCTTTATTTTCTTAATCAAAGAAATAATATATAGCTTATAAAGGAGTTTTTTATTATAATTAATATAAAAATTTATTTCTTTCTTCATTTACTGCTACTTATTCGATTAAAAATTTTATAAAAGAAAAACTTTTATTATTTAAAGATTTATTTTAAGAGACTTTTTCCAGAAAATTTTAATAAAATTCTAAACTTCGTTCCATTGATTATTTTTTAAAGATGTTTTTATCGATTTTTAATTATTTTTTGTTATCTTATAATTACTAGTCTATATATTAATAAGTTCTTTTTTATCCCTATTCTAATTATTACAAAATATTAGGTTTTCTTTAAGTTTTTTCTTATAAAAAATAAATCTATTCAATATTTTATTCTATATCTATTTTTTCTGTTTTCTATATTTATGATGGTTCTTCTTTTATTATTTATTCATATATAGGCTATTAAATTACTTTATTTTCTTATATATTTTATTCTTTTATTTCATTTATAGGTTATTTTTCTTATATTATTACTTTTTCTTAATATAAAGGTTATTATTCTTGTATTATTTATTATTATTATTATTCCTCTTCCTAATAGTTTTATTATTAGTTTATATCCTTTTTAGTAAAATTATAGTCTTTTTAATACTAGTTTTGCTAATGTCTATTAGCATAATACAATTAATTATAACTTTTATTACTATTTTAAAAATTATATTGAGTATTTGGTTCATAATTATATATGTTTTTTTATTAAATTGTTGGGGGATTTATATTTGAATAATTTATATTAGAGTATGGAAATGGTGGATTTACTATATAATGGGTTTCTTTATGCTAGGCAATTAATTAAGGTTATGAATAATATGAATTTATTTTTTAAGTTATTATTTAATTCGAGTAATATTATTATACTTCGGGATTTTTATATAGTATTGTTGATGGTTTAGGAGATTAATATATATATGGGTTATTAGTATATTCAAACATTTTTATTATTTTTTAAATATTATTATTTGATAAATATTTTTGTTTTATTTTTATTTTTTTGAATTAATTATTTTTATTTATTTTTACTTAAAAAAAAAAAAAAAAAAAAAAAAAAAAAAATTTTTTTTTTTTTTTTTGTAAAAATTATTATAATCATAGAATAAAAAAATTAAATGTATTTAAATAAGATCTTTTAATTATAAAAAATAATATTATAATATAAAGAAATTATATATTTTATTACATTAAATATAATTTTATTTATACAATAAAAATAATAAAAAAATGTTTAAATAATCAAATTCTATATTAATTTCAACTGATCTTATAAATTATAAAATGTAAAAAAGCAATCATATATAAAATATCTCGGAATAAAAACGAAAGAAATTATATTATATTTTTAAAAAAGAAAATTTAAATTAATATCAAAAAACTTCCACATAAAAAAAACACTAAAGTCACTCTTAAGAAATACTTCCGAATATATTTTCTAATTAAAATAAATCTAAAGTATAAAAAGATATTTAAGGCCCCTAGTATAGTATTTTAGGGGAAATAATTCCTCGTTCTATAGTCGGAAAGCCTGACTGGTATTTAAAATCATTAAAAACATAAATAATTTAAATTATCTTAATAATATACTCCTAGTGTAAAATAAAGAATTTCTCTATCTTCTTAAATAAGTTCATATTCAGTAAACAAAAATTCTAAGAAAAACTAAAAAAATTAATAATAAGAAATTAAAAAAACTAAGTTTTAACTATAAAAAGATTTAGATTGTATAAAAAATAGGATTTAAAACAACATAAAAGAATAAACTTAGTAAATAAAAAAGTTAAATAAATAAGATTTTTTAAAGTATACTTTTTACTAAAGAAATTTAGAAAAATACGAATAAATATAACAAAAATGGGCTAATTTTATTAAATTATCATTGTCTTAAAAGTTAAATAGATAAAAAATTGAATAATCTATTATTTATTAATAAGATTAATATAGAAATGTATAATTAACAATATAAAATATAATTATAAATATATATATATATATTTAAAAAAAAAATAAAATAAATATATATAGAAAGTTGAATTGCAAGATATATTCAGTGTATAAAAAGATATGATGGAAAAACTAAAAAAAATATATTTAGTTAGATTAAATGGGTAATCAAAACCATTAATTGTATTAGATAATGATCCGAGTCTTGCTTTAACTAATGATTCTATGAAAAGAAAATAGTTAGAAATTATTAGAAAACCCAAAATAAATGATGGCTTTTAAAAAGAAATTGCAAAATATGTTAATGATTCACCTAATAAAGCTTATTAATCAGATAAATATTATTTATAAAGAATCGGGGATTTTTAAAAAGAATTAGATATTAATAAAACTGAAAAAATTGATCAAAATACTAATATTGATTAAATTTATGTAATATATTTAATAAAGATTTGCATTTATTATTATAAAAAAGGTGTTAGGATAAAGCTAAGTAGAAAGAGAATAAGAAATGATTAATAAAATATAAAATAATAAAGAAATGTTTGTTTTTAAAAAATTTTAAGATGATAGTGGTATTTAATATTAATTTTATATTTTTTAATAATTAATTATTAATTATTCATATATATATATATATATATATATATATATATATATATATATATATATATATATAATTTTTTACATATTTGTATATTTTTTTTATTTATATGCCAATTTTTTACTTTATATATTATTTAGAGGATGAGATAGTTATTTATTAGAATTATTAATCAAAAAAAATATCAGAATATATGATAAATAAAAGTTTAAGTTAATTTTAAATATAAAACAAATAATGAATATATTCAAAATATGTACATATTTAATATAAAAATATTATTTTTATAAATATTAATGTATACTTTAAATAATTTTTTTTTTATATTTTTGTATAAAATTTTATTTTTATGTATAATTAAATAAATAATTTTTATTTTTTAATGACTTTTATTATAGATATAAAAAACATTAATTAAAAAATAAAAATAATTAACATTTAAAATTTCTAATAAAATACTTATATAGTATATAAAAAATATGTATTTAATATAATAAAATATAAATGTAAAAAAAAAATTAGATTATTATATACAATATAAATGAAAAAGAATAAAAATATAACATAATTTATAATAATTTTTTTTAAATGTTTTTCTATAATAAAAAATTAGTAAATTAAAAATTTTTGCAAATTTTATTTAGTTTAATATATAAACTATTAAAATAATCAAATAAAAAATAAAATTTATAAAAAATATATATATATATATATAAATATATATATATAAATATTTATATTTTTATATTTTTTATTTTATATAAAATTTTTTTCTAAATATTATTATAATTATTTTATCTATTTATTTTATTTTATAAGTAATAAAATTATCATTTAATATTTTTTATTTATAAATAATATTTTTTTTTATATTTATTTACATTACTTATTTAAATTTTTATATTACTTAAAAAAAAAAATATCTATAATGAAATTATTATTTTTAAATTTTAACTTACAAAAAAAATAATTTTCAAAATTATAAATAAAATAATAATTATATTATTATATATATTATATATTAGATAAAAGAAAAAAGAAAAATAAAGACATCACTTGACTTAAAATAAATTCATATGAATAATATTAACAGTAAAAATAGATACATATACATCTAAAGCTCCTAAAATATAATCATTAGGTGTATATTCTTTTCTTTTATTTTTTTATATAAGATAAATATTAATACCTAAAGCTATACCATAAATTAAGAAAATCAGTAAAGCAATAAGTATTTAAGTATAGTATGTTAGAATGATAAAGTCCCATAATAACTGATCCAATAAGACTAAGGAAAAATATAGTTAGAAAAAAAGCCCTTTTAATTTATTATTTAAAAGCTAAAAAATGCAGTAAACAAATTATAGTTAAAGCAAGAAAAGGAAAAAATATGATTAAGGCACTATTTATATCAAAAACACTCATGAAATAAGAAATATAATAACATTAAGAAATCTCAAATAATATATAAAAAATTATGTTTATAGGAAAAACTTTTATTTTTTGGAAAAATTTTGAGAATATTATTAAAAATATTAAATTTAGAATAATTAATGTATAAAATATTTCGATTTTTTCTTTTTAAAACTCCCTATATTCTTTTATAGTTACAGTAATTATTATAAATAAAGAAGTTATTAATAATTATGAATTTAAAACTGAAAGCATTTTTATTAAAAATTTAATCCTGATTAAAGGATCTTCTAAACCGTTTTTTATTTCATTTGTTAAGTCTTAACTTAATTTTTTAGTATAATTTCTACTTTTTTTATTTTTTATATAATAAATATTACTAATATATATAAGATTATTTTTTAGAGATTGTTTTATTTTTTATGTGTAATTATTTTTTAAATTATCAAATAAAAAAAAAGATAATCGCCCTTAATAAGATAAAAAATTTAATAATATAAAAAATAAAGAAAAATTAAAGCAATCAATAAAACAAATAATATATTATTTTTATATTTAATATATTTTTATTTGTAAAATCAATTTATTATTACTATTTTTATATTTTTTTTTATTTACAAATTTAATTTATTTAATAGCTTTAAACATGCTTTATTTTATACTAATAACTATTATTATTTTTGTATATATTTATAAATATGAGTTAAGTTAATTTATGTTGATTTTTTTAGTTTTTTATAAAATAAATATAATTTTTATTTTAATACCTTTTTATATAAAATTAATTATTTGCTTATGAATTATCATAAACTAAAGATTTTGAATTTTTAAATTAATTAGGAGGTACAACATTAGTTTGGTTTTTTTTATTTTAGGCCGCTTTGAAACCGAAATTCATCATAAAAAGCATTTTATACCAATTTTTTTTATTATTTATTAATATTTTTTATTGTGTAATTAACTTTACAAAGTATAATATAATATATTTTTATATTAACAAAAAAATATTAAAATAATTTTGAAAAATTCAAAAATAGAAATGGTTATAAATCCAAATTTATATTATTATATATAATTTAAAATACTATAATAATATATATTTTATTTTTCTTTAAATACAAAAAAATTAATAAAAAAAAATATATATAATATCATATTATTGTTATTTGTATATATTTATATATATTAATTTATTAATAATATATATTAAATTTATATATATATATATATACATATATATATATATATATTTTTATTTATCTTTTATTTTTAATTAATTTATTTTTCAGTCATTTGCTTTAGAATATTTAATAATATTATTTTAAATTTACTATCTTAAATTTTAATTAATATTTTTTTACATAATTATACTTATTTTATTTTCTAAATCAGAAATAGTTTATTGCAAAAATGTTTTTTCTTTTAAAATATTGTCAAGTTCTTATGTTAAAATTTTGATTTTTTTATTTAATTGTAAATCTTAATATTTTTATTGTTAGCATTATTATTTTATATTATTTTAATTTTAATTATTTTCACTATTTTACTAAATTAGAATTAATTGGTTATTTTCATTTATTTAATTTTACATTTTTTCAATTATTTAGTTTTTTTCTTTTAATTATTCTTCCATGTCATTTATATAGTCTTATTACTACTTTATTTCATATTTTAATTCTTCGATTTTTTATTCAATTTATTATAAAAAATTCTTATTTTATTTTTATTTAGATTCTTATATTAATTAATTTTATTATGATTTTTTGTTATTATTTTCTAATGTTTATTAACTATTATTTTCTAAAGTTTAATTATATTGACTATCTAATATTTATTTACTATAATTTTCTTATATGTTATTGCTATTATTTTCGGAATTTTATTTAAAAAAAATATTACTACCATCTGATTTTTATTTAGTTATACTTTCTATTAGTTTACTATTATGTTCTGATGTTTATTTGCTTTTATTTTCTAAACTATTATTGTCTTTTTTTTCCAAATTATTATTTGTTTTATATTCTAAGTTTTTTTTATTTTTACTATTTAATATTTTTTTTTTTTCTGGTGTTTATTTATCATCTTAAATTGTATTTTCAGATTTTAGATTTTTTAAATTATTCTCAAATATTTTTTTATTAGTATTATCTTCTATTGTCTATTTATGAAAAATGCTATTTTTAGAGATTTAATTATTATTAATTTTATATTCTTCAATTTCTTTTTATAAATCTTATATCATTATTTAATATATTTATTATTATTTTTTATATTATTCTAGTTCTTAATTTTAAAAAGCTAATACTTCTTATTTTTATTAATAATCTATATCACTTTCTTATTATTTATCGTGTATTTTTATTTTTTAATAATTTTATTTTTCAACTAATTCATTAATTAGTTATTATTAGTTTTATAATTACTATTTTAATTTGTCTTATATTTCCAAAAGTTTGTTTTTTTCTTCTTAATATTCTTATATTTACTTTTCATAATCTTAAAAAGAAAAAGAAAAAATTATTTTATTTTTTTAATTTAAAAAAAAAAACCTGTAATAGTTAAATTGGTAGATTGTTTTAAAATTTAAATGTGTTTTAAAGTTTACATAATATGATATTTATTTAACAAATTTTTATTTAAAAAAACCATTTTTTATTCTTAAAATTACTTTTAAAATGCTTCTATTTATTTTTAAAAATCGATTATAATTGTATATATATTTTAACACAATAAATTATTTTTATTTTTTTATAAAAAATCTTAAATTTTTATTCTTATATTTTCTATATGTAAAATGTATTTTTAATTAAAAATTTATTTTTATATTTCTTTTAAGTTATCATATTCGTTTTCATAAATAAATTGTTTTTATTATATTTATTATTATTCTAATTATTCCATTTATTATTATTCTAATTATTCAATTTATTATTATTAATCTAAGCTCAATTAAATTTTATTTTTTATTTATTTTTCTTTTTTATTTCTTTAATTGATTTCGGGAACCTTTTATTATAATTCTTTTATTTTAGAATAAATAGTATTTATTAATTATTTTTGTTTATTGTTTATAATTTAAATGTGTTTTAAAGTTTACATAACATGATACTTTATTTAACAAATTTTAATTTTTAATTACCATTTTTTATTCTTAAAATTACTTTTAAAATGCTTCTATTTATTTTTAAAAATCGATTATAATTGTATATATATTTTAACACAATAAATTATTTTTATTTTTTTATAAAAAATCTTAAATTTTTATTCTTATATTTTCTATATGTAAAATGTATTTTTAATTAAAAATTTATTTTTATATTTCTTTTAAGTTATCATATTCGTTTTCATAAATAAATTGTTTTTATTATATTTATTATTATTCTAATTATTCCATTTATTATTATTCTAATTATTCAATTTATTATTATTAATCTAAGCTCAATTAAATTTTATTTTTTATTTATTTTTCTTTTTTATTTCTTTAATTGATTTCGGGAACCTTTTATTATAATTCTTTTATTTTAGAATTTTTTGTATTTATTAATTATTTTTGTTTATTGTTTATATCAAATAATTTCACGTATTAATTGCTTAATACTTTATTTTATTCGATTTGAGTTTTTAGTTATTTTATTAATCTAAGAGTTTCTTAATTATGTTTTTCGTTTTCATTTTTTTTTATTGGGGAATTACTATTCACCATATTTGAATAATTTAAGCCAAAACTATATTTCTATTGATAAAAATTAAAAAAAATATATATTATATTATAACTCGTGGTGTAGACATTAATTTTTTTTTTTTTTTGTATAAAAAAATTATTAATATGAATATTAAATAATAAAATAAATTAAAATTATATTCATTAATTTGATTTATTAAAAAAATATATATAAAATATCACAAAAAAAATAAATTAATTTTTTTAAAAAAATATTAATAAGTTTTTATATAAAATAAATACTTTTTTTATAATCCTGTAATTAATAAATAAAATATATTTTAAAATTTATTTAAATAAAAAAATTATTAATTTTTCATAAAAAAAAAAAAAAATTTTTTCTAAATTAAATATTAATAAACTTTAAACTTCTTATATATATATAAATAAAAATATCAAATCAAATAAAACTAATCAAAACAACTAGCAAAATCATAGAAACTTAAATTAAACTACTAAATAGTTATTTATCTATACACATATAATCATTAACTTCTTTCGGACTTTCACAAATACATTTACCAGTACTATCAGCAGAAAATCCAGAACTAAAACAAGCACCATAGCATTTTGTATTATTCTAACAATCAGTAGGTACTTAACATTTTCCATCTTAAGATTTAAACTAAGCTCCAATGCATGCTTATTTATAGTCTTAACTATTAACATCACATACAGTAGCTTTCTCTTTAACACAAGTTTAGAATTCTGGATATGTACAAGAAGTTTTAAGGCCATCATATCCTGCATTAAGGCACTCTTTTGTACAAGTAACTTTTTAATTTAAACAGTTTTAAGTCTTAATGGGTAAACAGAAAGACTTTCCTTAATCTGAAAAGTAATTAGATTAGCACATACATGCATCTCCTTAAGATACAAATCTCAAGTTTTGACATAATAGTCCTTCTCTAGTTTTAACATCGGCACATTTATTTTTTTCTGAGTAACATCCTGAAAATTTGCAAACTCCATCTGTTTAATTTTCAAATCCGGCATCTATACATGCCTAAATACATTAACCAGGCAAATCACTGTTACAATTGCAAGCTTTTATATCTTTTCCAATACAGGTTGTAGGGTTAAAGACACAAAAATTATTTTTCTCATCCTTTAAATAACCTCTATTTATACAAACATCAGGGCAAGGTATATTTAAGGTTTTTATTTAATTTAAGCATGTATCGATACCTAAAGGAAGACAATAATTTTATTTATTAACTTAATAATAATAGAAATTATTAGGACTACAATTACATAGAGTAGCTTCGGTTGTAAAGTTTCTTTCGAGGCAATATTGCGAACATACTTAGGTAGCATCCTTACAATCAGGAATTGTGCATGTTTAGCCTTTGTGGACATCATCTTCAGGTAGTCCTATATATTATAAACAGGCTGTTTAGCATTTATTTGTAGGAGTAGAAGGGATACATGTGTCCAATGAAATTATACAGGTGTTAGTTTCAGAGTTTGTGAAACCTTAATCTAGGCAAACTTTGGGACATGAAGGTTCATATGATGAAGATTTAGTGCAATTATCGTATGTATATTGGAATATACATTACATAGAAGTAGCGTCTTGTACATAGAAAGGAGAAAGGCAACCACATACATCATTAGAAAAGGTATAATGGGTATCTACGCATAATTATTGGTCACAAGGTTACTTATTAGTATAAGTATAACATTTATTTTCACATTTTCCGTTTGCATCTGACTAATATCCATAATCTAGGCAAGCCTATTTAAAATTACTTGGTTTATTCTTATCATCACAGGCTTAGTCTAAACTACATATTTCTTTAGGAAGTGTGCATTGAGTCTTTTAGTCTAAAACATAACCAGCATTTAAACATATTTCTGGACAAGTGGTGTAAGAACCAACTTATTTTACGCAATAATTCCATGTAGTTTTCACTCTGTTACATTTTTTGGTAATTTCATCATATGCAGAATCAGTGTCACATGTGCATACATTATTTTAGTTATTAACAAAGCCTAAATCTTGGCAATAACTAGTGTTTACACGGCAAGGTAAACTATAGTCTTAACTTAAACAAGATGTGGGTATGCATTTATTGTTTTAATTCTAAAAACCATAATTTAAACAGGCTTCGGAGCATTAATTTTACGCAGAACAAGTTTCATATAGGGGAGGTAGACATTTATTATCATTTCCTTTTATATAACCTGCACTTATACAGTCATCTGAACAAGTTTCAGCTTGTATACATCTTGCCCAACTTACGGCTGTTTAAGTGGTTGGGCAGTATACATTTTATTCACATGGAGTTTCGTTTTTACATACGCAGCCACATCCATGAGCTGTAGGAGTTGTTTTTTAATCTTTAAAACCTTAGTCTTGGCAATACCTTAATAGAGAGCCACTATATGTAGAGCAATCGTTTTAACCTGAACATTATTAGGAAGGAACACATATTCCTGCTACTTATTTTTTAGAAAAGAAAGACATTATTTTTTAAAAAAAGGATTCTTTTTATTTTTGATTGCTCTCTTTGAAATTATAGTCCAGGCATGCTTAGAGCTTTTAGAGACCGCCACAGTATGGATTTCCAATACAGGTAAAGTAGGAAGGAGGATTACAGTCATTGCTTGTGGAGTCTTTTAAAACGTAACCATCCTTAAGGCATTGTGAACCTGGATTACAAGAGCCTGGGTTAGTTATGCATGCCCAATCGGCTTTTACTGAAATAGTTAATAATAAAATTATAAAGAGTATTTTCATATTATTATTACTTTTAAAAGATATATTATTAATTAATAAATAAATTATTTATATATCTTTTTTACTATATATAATAAATATTTACAAAAAAAAATATATATATATATATATATATATATATATATATATATATATATATATATAAATTAATAAACATATAATTATTTATAATATGTTTTTTTTTTTTTTGATAATAATATTTTAGTTGTATTAATATAATTTAAATTAAAACAAAATATATATATTTTTGCATATTTTAAAATTTTTTTAAGTTTTTATTATATAAAAAATGATTTTGTTTTATTATATATCTTATATTTTTAGTTTTGTGAAAATTTAATAATGAATAAATATTCAAATTAAAGTTTTTTTTAAAAAAAAATTAATAAAAGAATTTATTAAAATTATATAATATATATATTTTAATTATATATATCAATAAAAGATTAAGTATTTTTTCTAATAGTAAATAGTTTAATTTGTATATAAAAATATATATATTTAAATATAAATATTACTTTATAAAAGAAAAAAATATATTTTATTTTCATAAATTTATATATATAAAATTAGTTAAATTTGTTAATATAATATTAATAAATTAAAAAAAGTATAATGTTAAATATATGTTTTACAAGAAAAATTATTTAATAAATATTTATTTTATAATTTTATAAAAAACATTGAAAAATAATTCAAAAATAATATAAATATTTAAAATTCAATTCTATTTAACATTTTTTTTAAAAAAAAAAATAGCTTTATTATATAGATAAAATTTGTAATATATATTTTAATATATTATATATTTCATTTATTTTTATTAATTTTTTTAATTTATTATATATCTAATATTATTATCTTTTTTTATTTTTATTCATTATTCAATTTATTATAAAAAATATTATATAAATAGATTTTGTAAATATATATATATATATTTATATATTTCATTTATTTATATATGATTAGATATAATAAATTTTTTTTTTAATATTAAAGTAATAAATAACATAAAAATAGATATAATTTTTTTAATTTTATTAACAAATAAATTAAATTATAGATAAAAATAAAATTTCCTTTTTATATATAAAAGCAATAAAATCATCTTTATAGTTAATAAAACAATTCAAAGCAAAATTTTATATCTATACGTTCTATTAAATATTAATAAACCTAAAATATTTCTATAAAATTATATTTACCATATTTTTAATTTACAAGTATTCATAAAAAATATGTAATTTTTTATTTATAAAAATAGCAAAAACAATAAATCTACCTTCTATGGGAGATTCAATAACAGAAGGTTAAGTTGCTTAAATGCTTAAAAGTAAAAAAAAAAAAATGCAGTGTAGAAACAGATAAAACATAAGTCCCAATCGTTCGCATGAAGCCGGTATAATTACAGAATTATTCGCAAGCGATGGTTAATCTGTTTAAGTCGGAAAGTAAAAAACCCGAAGGTGTCGCAAAACCAGCTGAATAAAAAAAAGAAGTTTAATAAAATACATAACCTGAAACATAATAACCTTTATAAGTAAAATAATAATAGGCATAAATTTCTAGAGGAGAAAATGCTATAAAAGCTACTCATCAAACATAAACCACATAAAAGTAATAATAGCCGACATAATTATAAGTTTCTTATGGAGAAAAGAATAGAACAGAAAGAAGAAAACCATTAAGTAGAATGAGATAAAGAATTGCAGAAAGGTTAAAAGATGCTTAAAATACATATGCACTATTAACAACCTTTTAAGAATGTGATATGGGAACTGTTATGGATATTAGAAATAAATTCTAAGATTAATTTACAAAAAAGCATAACGTTAAATTAGGTTTTATGAGTTTTTTGTAAAAGCAACAACTGCAGCTTTATAATAATAACCTATTGTAAATGCAGGTTATTTTCTTTTTAGTATTTTTAAAAATTATATTAATTTTATAATATATGTATATGTAATTATTTATAGATACATATATAAATACATAAATATATATATTTATTGTTATATATATTAATTTTAATATATTTATTTTTATTCATTTAATAATTTATTTTAGTTATTGATGGAAAAGAAATAGTCTATAAAAATTATATTGATATTTCTGTAGCTGTTGCAACTCCAACAGGTTTAATGGTCCCTGTACTTAGAAATACAGAAACTATGAATTTCGTTTAAATTGAAAAAGTATATATTATCTAATTTCATATAATTTTTAAGTTTTATTTATGTTTTATAAAAGGAATTAATTAGATTAGGCAATAAAGGAAAAGAAGGTAAAATTTAAGTTGAAGATATGGCAGGAGGAACTTTCACTATTTCTAATGGAGGAGTTTTCGGATCTTTAATGGGAACTCCTATTATTAATCCACCTTAATCAGCTATTTTGGGAATGCATTCTATTGTAAATCGTCCAATAGTTAAAAATGATTAAATTGTAGCAAGACCAATGATGTATTTAGCTTTAACATATGATCATAGATTAATTGATGGTAGAGAAGCTGTTACTTTTTTAAAAACTATTAAGGATGAAATAGAAGATCCAAGAAGATTGTTATTAGATTTGTGATATTATTATTTCATTTTTTGATATATATAAAAATAAATAAATAAATTATTTGTTTGTTTATTTTAAATATCTTATTAATTAAATTTCATATATAATTATATATAAATTTAAATTTTTTAAAAAAATATAAATAAATATAAATGATTATATATATCTATATATGTATATAAAAATAATTAAATATATGTATATATATATATATATATATTTAATATAAAAATATATATTGGTCATAAAATTACCATATATATTCATTTTTATATTTATAGGACAAAAAAAAAATGGAAAATAAATCAAATATAATAGATATTAATAACATCAATTATTTAGAAAATAATATATAAGAAAATAATATATAAGAAAATAAATTATAGGAAGTTAATAAATAATAATAAATATGTGATTCTACTACGTTAAATTTTTTTATAAAAATGGAATTATATTTCTTATAATTTTATTATTAATTAAAAAAAAAAAAAAGATTGATTAAAATTAATGCTGATACATTATTAAAAAAGAGAATTTTTACTTCTTGGTTTTTGTTTTTTTTATTGATTTTAATATTATTTATTACTTCATATTTTAGTATTATATAAATTAAATAAATCTATATTTTTATATTTTAAATTCAATAATAAGTACCTTCAGCATTTACATAAATTAAACATGAATAATTTATTTTTAATGATAATTAATAAATAAATAAAACAAATGCTGAATAATATGAAGTAAAAATTAATATAAACATTTTTTTTTTTTTTTAAAAAAAAAAAATATATAAAGAATCATATAACTTTTTATGAAGATAATATTGATAATTTAACTTCTAAAAATTAATTTTTGTAATTAAAAATAGTTTTGTATAAAAAAGATTAATTTTTAGAATAATTAATAAAAGAAAATACAAACTTTAAAATATCAATTATGGGATATATAAATGAAAAATAAACATAGTAAATAGTTTAATTATAAAATATAGAAATAGAAATTATATGTGAAAAAGTATTTAATTGAAAAAAATAAAAATAAAATAAAATCAATCATATAATTTTTTAAAAAAATAAAATAAAGAATAGTTTGTAGTGTCAATCATTTATAATATTATATATATAAAGTATAGATTATAATAAATATAAAATTACTATTTTTATAGCAAATTCAATAAAAGATATGTTTAATTTACCAAAAACTGAAAATATATATAATTTAATTAATAGTTAATTTACTGAAATGATAATATATTTAAGAACAACTTTTTTGATATTATCTTTTCTCTTTTTTATTAATTATTACAGAAAACTTTATAAATTAAAACAAATTCATTGGATTCTAGAGTAAAAACTGGTTGTAATTCTTAGTTTTTTATAAATGTTTTTAAATAATCCTTTTTATTTTTTAACTATTATATATCCAAGTATATTCAGGTAAATTTTATTTTAAAAATAAATAAATTTATTTAAAATAAATAAAAAAAAAAAGTTTCTTTTTAGATTCCTTTTTTATAATTAATTTTATTACTTTTTTAATGCTTTTTTGGCTTGTTATTTTGGATAGAATAAGGACTGAAAATGCAAATAAATAATCATATGCGTGTAGTTTTTGGAAACTCTTATATGGATTAATATTTTATATTTTTTTAATGACATACAATGTTTGGTATTCAATATATAGCTATTAATATCCTTTTACTTAGTTTACTAAAAGCTTTGGTATTCAATATGATTTTTTTAAATATTTTGGATTTTTTATGCTTAGTAAATAATAATATATATAATTATTATTTACATTTATTTAGGTACTTATATTATTGGAATTTCTTTTATCAGTTATTAAATATATCGCAATTTTGATAATATTTTATTTAGAAATAAAAACTTTTTTATTTCTTCATTTTATTATGTTATTTTTAGTTTGATATGTATTACTTTTTATATATATTTTTAAAACATTATATAAATATATTTTATTAGTGTTTTATACTGGATATAGTAATTTTGATCCTAATAAATTATTTTTAGTTATTGGATAAATTAATTTATATGTTGCTTATCTATAATATATGTATTTACCTGCAAAAGAAGGATATGAAGGTTATCTTGATAAATATATATAAAATTTAATTTTTTTTTTTTCATAAAAAATTATATAAATAAAGAGGCAATAGTTTTAGGAAAAATAGATAAAATTGAATAAAATAAAATCATTGAATAATAGGTTTTTAATAATAATAATAAGATTAATTTTAATTAAAAGTTAGATTTATTTAACCATACTTAAGAAATAGTTTCTGAGTAGAAAAATAAATGTCAAGTTTCTCATATTAATTTAAAACAAAATAGCATTTAATTGTGATTTTTTTTTTTTTAATATAAAATAAAAATTTATTAAAAATAATAATTAAATATATATTAATATAAAAAAAAAAAAAAAAAATTTAAATATATTTTTAGTTAATAATTATTTAATATTTTTTTATTTAAAAATATACAAAAAAAGGAAAAAAAAAATATTATTAACAAAATATTGATATACATATATATAAAATAAATAAATAAAAATAATAATAATATATATATATAATTATATTTAACAAAAAAAATACATGGTTAGATTAGAAAAACTAGCTTGGGAACAATTAGCAAACATAAAAGCCTTAGGAAGAGATAGAAAAATCGGATCTCCATCCAAATGGTACAACGTAAATCGTACCGACTGGTTATTAACAGCTGGAAACATAATTATTAACTAAGGTATAACATCAAGAATAATAAGTTTTCTCCTTCCCATAATTTCCAGATTTACATATAGATATAGTTTAGATATTCATCATTAAAGAGGTATGACACTTGAAGACACATACCTATTTACTGACAGAGAATTAAGAAGAGATTATCTCTTTGAAACATTAGCAAGATAGAAGTAAAAATAATATAAATAATATAAAAATTTTTAATTATATAAATTAGTTTACATCCATACACTTACTTATTCATGAGAAAAAGAAGAGCAAGATATTTTAAAGTAGAAAGAGGTGTCCGTGGATTTTTCGTCCCTGATTGGGTTCGTAAAGAGGCTGAAGATAGAGAATTCGACAAAACTGCCGAGAATATATTTACATGGACCAATTTCGTGTATAATAATTATATGAGTGACATGACTCCTGCAGGTAGATGGAGTCATCTTTAAAAGATTAACCCTTTGGACTTATTTACTTGTCACGGATTATTCAGGGTAGATGCTTGGGATAGATATTTCTTCAATGAAGTATATTATAGTGGATATACTTAATAAGAAATTTAAGAGGCTAAAAATCCACTTTCTAGATTCGATTTCACTACTGCCGAAGGAAGATAGGAATTCGAAGAATTCGTTAATAGATTTGGGGAATTATTCCCTTTTACAATTACTAAGCCTGGGTAAAAATTCGATTTTAATACTTTTTATGCTAGAGAGGCATTAATTAATCAAAGAGATGTTTCAGGATTTGATTAAAGTCTTATTGATAATCTTAAAAATGAATTATCATAATTACCTTAATAGGAAGTTGATAGTGGAAAAAATAAAACATAAAAACTCAAAAGTAGATTACCAGATTGGGTTTTACCTAAAGCTGGATAAGCTCTTTAATGAAAATAAAATTTTTTGGTATTTTTTTATTTTACATTAATATTTTATTAAATACTTAAATATTATTTTATTTTTTATTAGAAAATATGTTTATTTTTTTAAATTTTTTTTTTTAAGATATAATTTAAATAACATTTTTTTTACATAAAAGATAAAATTTATAAATTTAAAAAAATAAAATAACAAAATAACAAAACGATTGCATTTTTTATAAATAAATAACCAAGTATATTAATTTTGAATTTATAATTTATACAATAGAAATTATAAATATCTGTATAATTAAAAATTTATAATTATATCTTTAAATATAAAATATAATAAATAATCATAAAAAATTACTCATAAATAATATTTTAATATAAAAATTTAAAACAAAAATGGAAAATAATTTAATAAAAATTATGTAAATAACCTTTTTTAAAATATTTTAATTGACAAAACAATTATGTTTTATTATAATTTACTTCTAAATATTTATTTAATTATTAAGAATGTATATAAAAACCAAATAATTCTTTTTATAAAAGAATAACATATTTAATATCTTTTAGTTAGTATAAAAAGTAAATGGAATTTAAAATTTAAAGAAATATTTCCAATAACATCATTTAATTTTTTAATAATTTAAAACAAATTTTTTAATTATAATATTAAACAAATTTTTATTTCGAAAATTATAGTATTAATTCTTATAAAAAAGCTTTATTTTGGATATAATTAGCTACTATTACATTAATCTAATATATATATTATCCCTCAAAAAATAAAATAAAATATATATGTATATATAAATAACTATATATTTATAATTATTTTTATTTAGGCTTGATAAAAAAAAATAGACTAAAATATATAAAAAAAAGCAAACTAATATAATATATTTACAAACATAAAAAGTAAATTTAAGTTAAGTTTTATATAAAAATATAAAAACTTGTATTTAAAATATATGAAATACTCTTAATAGGAATTTAAATTAAATAAAATATAACTTAAAACCTTAGAAATCGTAAAAGTCAATTTTTTTATAGAAAAATACTATAGAGAAGATTCCTATTTAATTAAAATAATTAATATTTAATATAAATATGATGGCTCAGAATTTAAACTATCTATTATAAAATAAATTAAACATAAAAAATACAATTATTAATAATAGCAAGAATTTATTTGAAAACTGTATATTGAATTTAATTAAAACTGTCCAAATATAGTATTATTAATGCATATATTATTATTACTATTAAACTAATTATTTTTAGTAATAACAGATGCAGTTTACTATGATTTTTATTAAGAATATTAATAAATTAAAAATAAAAAACTCAAAAAATATAATTTTAATTTTTTAATAAATTTAATTGAGTTTTTTGTTGGAATTTTTTAAAAATTGTAATAATCGTTTCTTATTTTATTTTAGATTTATTGTAGACTGTGATTTTAATAATCAAAACTTTTTTTTATGTCCTAATTTTTATAAAAATAATACGAATTAAAAAATCTTTTATTAGGTTTTACCAGGAAAAACCTTAACATGCTAAACACATTATATTATAGATGAAAACATTATATTATTTTTGAATTATAATTAAAGATATTCTATTTATAGACTTATAAAGTAAAATCTTTAGTAAATTAATTAAAAAATAGCTTTATATAGAAATATATTTTGATTAATTTTTTATTTACAAGCATAAATAATTAGGTTATAAAATATTAATGTTGAACATAAATAAAATGCTATAGTCTATATAATTTTAATACATAAAGTTTTTCTTTAGATATTGATAATTTTATTAAATTTTTTATAGAATTATGGAGTATAGAAAAGCCATATATTAAAGATATTAAATTAAATAAACAATATGATATATAATTTATAAATTAAAAGATTATGCAAAATTAATAATTATGTATAAAAACTTATATTTATATTATTATAAAAAATTATTATTAAAATATATAATTTTAGTTTTAAGATGGATATATTAAATAAATGAGTTTAAATTTTAAAGTATGTAAATTAATTTATATATAGAAATATAATAAAAGATTTTAAAAATTTGAAAATATAAAGGTTATATTTTAAAGATATATATAAATAATTTTCTTTATATTATAAAATGTATTTATATTATTTTAATTTATTATTACAAATATTTTTTTTGTTTAAAAACTTATATATATTTAAAGATACATAAATACTTTATAATTAAAATATTTTTATATATTATTATTATTTTTAAAATAAGTAATTTCTATTTATTTATTATTTTTTATTATAATATATTTCTATTTAAATAACTATTATATATTTTATATTAATACATAAAAAAAATGAATTTAGAACAATAAAGTTAATAAATTTAAAAAGATGAAAATTAATAAATTTAAAATCAAGAATAATAAGATAAATAAAAATTTATAGAAAATAATTAAATTTTAGAAATTATATAAATTTAAGAAAATATTTAAATTTAGGATGACGAATAAATTTCTAGCAAATAATAAATATAAGATAACAAATATATAAAAGAATAAAAAATCGAAGAAATACTAATATAAAATGAAAACACAGTCGAAGAAAATAAAGAAAATTTAATTAATTAATAAAAAATAGTTAGTTTAAACAAAAAAACTCCATTATTATAAAACAATGAATTAAAATTTAGTGAACCTTTACAAGATCTAGATTATTATAATGAAAAATAATTTCAAATGTAAAAAAATATTGAAAACGAGGATAACTTAAGAACGAATTATTTCCGATACAACCAATAATAAATCCCAGTAACTGTAGATCCTGATAAATATTTCTAATTAAGAGTATGTAAAATATAAGACGGAATAGCAACTTTAATGAGTGAAGACTATACAACAATTGATATGCCTTTAAATTTTATGCCTTAAGATATACATTGTGGATGTGTTGTTAATATTGCTATTAATAGAGATTTTTAGACTGAGGATGAAGATCAATAAGAAATTATTAATATATAATCTAGAATTCTTTAAGATCCGAGTTTTTTATAAGATTTTACTGAATAAAAATGATTATTTATCTTTAAAAATTTAGTATTTGTGTTTTTATATCTTTTTATTTGTATATTTTTTATTAATTGATATATATTAGTATCTAATTTAATTTTTTTACAAAAAAAATATTGCACATAAATTATATATAAAAATATAGATAAACTATTTTTCTTTAAAAGTATACTTGTTAATATTTATAATTAAATTTTTTTTAAAAAAAAATATTTAATTGTAAATATTAAGGTTTTTTATTTATTTTCAAATTTTATAAATATTCGTATTTTTGTTTAAAAAAAAATATATTTAAATATAATTTTTTTTTTTTTTTTTTTTAAAAAAAGAACTTTTTATTAGAATTAATTAAATTATATTTTTTAATAAAAATATCTTAATATAAATAAATAAAAATGAGTTAAGAAAATTAATATGATGAATTACAAAAAAAAAAATATCAATTAGAAAGAGAATTAAAAGAAAAAGATAAACATTTAAGGGAAATGGAATAAAAATCACAATTAAATTCGTAAAAAGCATTTAAAAAAAAAAAAAACAAAACAAACAAAAATTTAAATTTTTTTTATAAAAATAAAATTACAAATAAAAAGTTAAAAAGGCAAATTATTTAGTGAAAATACAAAAAAATAAAGCAAAATATAACCACCATAAAAGATGATATACAAACCGAAACCAAGAGATTTTAATAATGTAGTAACAATTTACTTTTTTTATTAAAAGTATATTAATTAAACATCATAAAAAAAAAAATTTAGAGGTAAATAAAAATAAATATCTATAAAATATTTTTTTAAATTATAAAAAATATAAAATAGATAAGAATATAATAGATAAAGAAACTATAATAGACCATATTAAGATAAATATTAGGATAGATATTCAAATTAAAATAATAGATATGATAGAGGAGAAACATATACATAAAATAGAAATAATTAAAGACATGGAAATAAAGATTATAATAATAATAATTAAAGATATAATAGGTAAAGAAGTCCAATAAGGAATAGTAAATTTGATTTGGAATATAGAGGAGATCATGATTATAGAAGAATTAGAAATCCTTTGAGAAATATTAGGGATGATAGAAGAAAAGATGATGAAAATGAAAGAAAAAGAAGGAGAAAAAGTTCTTAAGAAAAAAGAAATAGTTAAAAAAGATCGTCTGGAGAAAAAAAAAAGTCTGTAGAAAAAAAAACTGTTGAAGAATAAAAAAATAATAATAACAATAATTAAAATGAAAAATTAAATAAAGATGATAGTAGAGAAAGAATAAGATCAAAAGATGAAAAAGCTTAGTTTTTTTTTTTTTTTTAATATATATATATATAAAATATAGAAAAAGTATGGATATATTAAAAAATTCTAAATTGTTTGCTTAATTAGAAGGTCACTTAAAAAAAGCGAATAAAATATTAAATCATGATAAATATATTGTATTATTTTATATTTTTTTTTAAAAAAAAAGTATTTATATGTTAAAATTATTATTATTAGATTGAAAAATAAAAAGATTTATAAAATTAAGTTGATTATAAATATTAAAATATAATTGATGATTTAAGATAATAAAAGAAGAAACTTATTGATGTAAAATTATTAATATATATATATATATATATATATATATATATATATATATATATATATATATATATTATATATATTAATTTTTTATATTTTTTTATATACATTTAATTCTTTAAAGGAAATTAAAGAAAAAGAATTAAAAGAAAAATAAGAATTATAATAATAATTAGATCAACTTGATAAAAAATTAAAAGTATTTTTTTTTTTTTTATTTATTTATAGACATAAAAACATTTTTTTTTATAACAAGGATTATGAAGAAAATAAAAGAAAACATGAAATTTTATAATAATAAACATAAAAAAAAGATGTTTAGAAATCTGTAAAAATATATATAAATTTTTAATTAAAATTAATTAAATTTTTTAAATAAAAATTTTAAAGTAAAAAAATGATGATGAATAATCTAATGTATCTTCAAATGCAAATAGTAGTAGAAGAAGTAATAGTTAAAGCAGTAGTAGTAGTAGAAGTAGTAGTAGAGAAAGTATGAGTAGAAGTAAGAAATATGAAAGAAATAGTAAGAGTATTTAAAAAGAAAAAGATAATAATAGTTCAAGAAGTGAAAGTAAATAAAAATAATAATAAATTTTACCTGAAAGTTAAAAAATAGATGATTGAAAAATAATAATAATATCTAAAAAATAATACATAAGTTAAGATAAATTTTTTATATTACTTAAAAATAAATTTAATTAATAAAATTAAAAATTTTATAGATTTTGTTAAAAAAATGTCATTTTTTTTTTTAACAAAAAAACTTTAAAAAATAAAATATAAAAAATTAATAAACTCAAAACATTTTTTTTTAGAATTTTTCAACAATAACTTATTTTAAATCTTAAAATTATATTTTTGGTGAAATTTATTCAGTCTATTCATAAATTTCAATTTCTAATAAATCCTCAAGCTTAAATCCTTACCAAAAGAAGTCTTTTTTGACAATTTATTAATATTCTTGTACTAATTTTAAAATTTCTAAATCAATCTTTTTTACATTTTCATTAATAATTTAAGATTTATTTTAATCTTAATTACTATATTAAGGAAACTAAAGTATTTATTCCCTTTATTCCATTTTATCAATAATAAACTACGCATGAATAATATCTTCATTAAGTTAATTTATATAAGTATTAAGTGTATTAAACATACCATCATAATTTCCTTAAAAATATTCTAATTAATTAATAAATGTTAGTCTATCTTCATAAGAAACATTTCTAAAATTCCAACTATCAATTAGATTTTATATTAATTCAGTTAATTCTACTTATTGGGTGGCATTTAAATTTTAAAACTTATAAATTAATTATTATTATAAATAATTTTCCATAGCTATATATTTATCGTATAAATTTTCATTTAAATTTATTTTATATTCTAGTTCTTATCTTTTTTAATCTAATTCGTATTATGTTAAATACTTTTCTGATGTTTTATGTTAATTTTTTTAATAATCTTGATTATTATTAATATTTTTGGATTGTATGTATTTTTCTATATATTAACTTATGTTTTGTTTGGTTTTTTCTTCTTCTTCTTCTTCTTTATTTTTATTAGGTTGAGTTAATTGTTATAAACAATACACTATTATTTATAATATATATATATATATATATATATATATATATTTATATATATATATATATATATATAATTGTAAATTATAGTATATTTTTATACTTTAAAATGCATTATTTGGTTATTAATTTATTTTAAATTATTATTTTTCTTGATTTTCTTCTATGTTTATATTATTAATAGGAGGTGGTGGAGGAGATAAAGATAAATTAGTCAAAGATTAATTTCTATTTGATTTTTTTTCTTATTCTTCATTAGAATTTTATGATACTTATTCTTAAATTTAAATTAATTATTATTGATTATTTTACATTTTCTTATTTGAATAAAGATATTTATTTTTAAATTCAAAATCATCATCATTATCTTATTATATTTAAGGATTTTTTATATCATTATTATAAATAAGATTCGAATTTTTAAGAATTCCTTTAATATTCGGATCTTTTTTATATTTTTCTAATTCAATTTAGACTTATTATATTTATAATTACAAATTATTAATAATACTATTATATTTATTTTCCTCTTAAGCAATTTATTAAAAAATCTGATTTTTTTAAATCTAAAATTTATTAATTTTGACATTTTTTAATGATTTTAATCTCGCTATTTCCGCTTTTTCCTTTTCCATTTTTTTTCTTTCTCCTTCAATTTTCTCATTTAATTCCATTTTATAAAATTCTTCCAATTTTTTTTTTCCGCGTTTATTTTTTTCTAAAATACCACTTTCATTTGTTTTTCTCGATTTTACATTTCCTTCCTTATTTCCATTTCATATTCATTTTTTAATTTTTCGCGAATATCGCTTTCTTGAACTTCATTTGTATTTAAATCTTCAATTTATTCTTCTAATATTTATTATTTTTTCTCTTAATATTCACTCTCATATTTTTTCTCGATTTCATCATAAATTAATTACTCCATATGTCTTTCATAATAATCTAAATCTTATTATTTTTTTTCTAATTCATTTATTTTCTCAATTAATTATTTTTACGTCTCAGCCTCTACTTATATAAAAACTTATTCTAATTCATCTAATGCTTAAAGACGACTTTATTCACTTAATTGTTGTAACTTTTACTCGTATTCAGATTATAATTGTTAATCAATTTCTTTTCGTAATTCTTCTTCAATTTATGGAAGAAGTTCTTTTACTAATTCAAATACTTAATCATCTTAGGTAGTATTAGATTTAGTTGATTAATTATTTTGCATTTTTTTAAAAAAAACAAAACAAAAATATATATATATATATATTATAACTATTTTTATTGTTTTTTTTAAATTTTTTTTTTTTCAATGATTTAAAAATATACAATTAAGTGTTATTAAAAAATATAAAAATATTAATTATAATTTTAAATATATAAATATATTTCATTTATTATTTAAATAACATTAAATAAATAAAGAAAATTAAATTTATTTATTATAAATAAAATAAAAATTTATTTTATATTTAATTAAAAAAAATTATTTAAAAATATATATTTATAATTACTTTATGATTTTTAATATTTTTTACTACATAAATATATAAGAATGAAAAATAAAAAAATATTATGAATTAGCTTTAAAGTTAATATATTCTATTATTTTATATACAAATTTAATATGAAGTTAAGAATATAAAAAATTTATCAAATATAAAAATTTTAATATCTTTTATTATACATATTCATTATATAATTTTCTAAATTAAAAATACTAAATAAATTTATGTTTATCCAAAAGCATTATTTATTAATTTTGTAAGAAATCATTTAAAGAATTAATTTATATTTAATAAATGCAGAAGCAATTTAATAAACGAAAATATCAAAAAATAATACTAACAAATAAAAAAACAACCATTTATTATAATTAATAAAAAACTTTTTTAAATACTAATACAAATATAGTAATAACAAATTAATCACTATAGAAAAGAAAAAGAAATATAAAAAATATTTCAATATGCTATAATTAATTTTATATATACTTTATATTAAAATAATTAATTAGTTAATTGTTAACAATAATAATAAATTAGCAATTATATTTTAGATAAAATTAAAATCATTAAATATAACAGAATTAACAGTAATAAGGATTACATATTTTATATATTATAAAGTTGCTCTAAAAGGTCTACTTATAAATTAATTAAATAAACTAAATATTTAAATTAATTCATGTAAACTTACTAATTAAACAAATCTATTTTTATATTAAAGGTTTTACTAAATAGAAAGTTCATTTGATTAATTTAAATTAAAAATTTTATTTTTCTTTTCAAACATGATGATATTTTATTTATTAATTTAATTTGATAATACTTTTTATCGTTTTAAGTATTGTGATTAATCATTATTTTCTTCTTCTTTGTGATCTTATTTTAAATAATCATTTGATATATCTCTATATTTTTAGTTTTTATGTAT